GTGAAATAACGGCAATACCACCGTGTCATGTACAGTCATTGATTGTTGAAGAGTGAGTCACACTAGTCTATCCATATTTCTCGATAGAAAAGAAAATTAAACAAAATCAAGAGGACAATTTGTTAAAACAAAAAGAAATTAGACTTTTTCATTAAAGAAAACTTAACTCTCACTCTTTCTCGGTTATTAGAAACAAAGCCTTTCTTTGAATCTAATTCCCTTTTCCAGTTTTCAGCTCATCCCCACTGTGATTTCTTTGACAGCAATGCTATCCAGAAAGGCAAATGACCTTATCCTTAACACAAAACAAAAAGACAATAGAATTGATCACTGACTCCCTGACAAATAAGAAAAACCTTTAGGTTTAAAAATCCACTGAGAGCAGATGTTGGGGGCTTACAAGCTTCCAACTCCAGGGGGTTCACATTTCAGAATAACTAATGCAGGGCCTAAATGTTTCAGACCTCATTAAAACAAAGACTCTTTTCTTTTATGAGGACCACAGCCTGCCGTTGAACTTTTACTGCGGCCCCACTGAGAACACCTTAACATTCTGCGAAACACCTCTGCAGACAGGTAGAACCTGCAGCAACTAATTAAACAGCACAGTGTATCATCAGGCCTCCTCATCCCAAGAGGACATCCCACTTGACCTGCCTCCAGAGGCACCCTATCGTGAGACACCCTACCCCACCCTGGACATTCACTTTTTCTTCACGCTTCCCTCAGGCAGATTTCAGACCGTTCAAGCTCACACAAACAGAGGGGAAATCGATTTTTCTCTCAGGCAGTGGACTTCAAATTTAAGCCTGTTTGGAGATTAGAATGCAATTCCCACTGACTGGAATGACCATAGCCTGTTTTATATTCCGTCTTTACACCATTATGTTAGTATATTTTAAGACAGTTGTTTATTTTATGATATGCTGCTATACAGACCTTAGCTGTAGCTTAACTTGTTTTTCTCAGTTCTATTACAATAAAGCATCTATCTGTCCCTCTAACTAGAAAAATATTTGAACATTTGATATTTCTAAATGACCCCTGGTCACCTCTTTTTGGTACGGCAAATCCAAAATATCAGTAACATGTAAAAAACACATGTGGGTCATGTAGATCAACACCACAAAATAATGAAAGAATTCATGAAAACCCTGGGAGGGAAACTCATTATAATTTGAAAGTGTTTGCGGTCCGTTCGATTTAGTAGCAGCCCATGGTCTTGCCAAGGTCATCATTTATTTAAAGCTAAGCAGCTCTATGATCAAGCACTGAATTAATTAACTTAAGAAAACAGTAGACGTAAGCTCTCAGAGAGGTCTCTAGATTACTATGGTGTAAGTCCATTTTCCGGAGCTGTTATATAGGAGGGCCAAAGGATGCGGTGTATGGAGCGTCTTCTCGGATGAAACACAAGGCAGCGTGGTAAACCGCATAAATTACTTTCAAGAAGGCTCTCGCAGAACACTCACACATTTTGTCATCTATGCAAATTTTCTTTTTGCCTGCTCAGCCGCAGAGACAGCGGATACAAACATTTTCTGACAGATCATAAATTGTAGCATTATGGGAATTTAAATGTCTCCATTGTATCTGGTAGACGCACGCACTGGAGATGCTTTTTTTTTCTTCTGTTAGCGACAGTCCACTTTGTGTTTCCGTATGCAGTCATGTCTGAAGGTTTTGGCAGAACTGATCCAAATTGTTGCTGTTTTGAAATGGAATCCGAGAAAATGATTAATCCCTTTTTTTTAAATTGATAAATAAAAAAAATGCAGACAGTTCAAGATTAAACTTTTGTATTTTGAAAAAAAGGATTAGGAGTGTGGGTTTAAACAGTGAAAGAAAAGCAAAGTTTTGGTCACACCGGGTCTAATGGAGCAAAAGAAGAAAAGAAGCTGTCTGCCAGTTTGAAGGGTCGGGGATTTGATTTCCTGGATCACATGATGACGTATATTTGGGCAGATATCTGACACATATTTTCTTTAAATCCACTGAGTTTCTTTTCAAAAACCTCTGACTGACATTTTCGGGGATCGGGATTTTTATTTTTTGTGTATGTTTGTCAATGCTTGCTAAATTGTCCATGCTGTCATATGCAGTAAAGCACTCTTTTAAGTAGTGCCACAACCTATTCCTACCTAATCTAACTAACAGATATCTCTATTTTCCAGTTAGTGAGGCTTGTACCTGTAAACTTTGCAATTTTTTCTTGTTGTTGTTGTTAAGCACAGGATGGGTTTTTAATTAGTTTTATGCATTTGCAGAAATAATAACATTTGGTGAGTTCTTGTTCATTTTTAATTCTTCACTCTTGGACAAAGGAAAATGCATTCTGATGGAATTATGCCACTTCAAAATGCTTTGCCATAAAAATTAACAAGTATGCCCTGAAACTATGAATTAGCAATACAATTCAAGCTTATCTGAAATGGGCTAATAGAGCAGAATAGCCCACGGTTAAAGTCTAAAAGACTTTCACAATACATGTTTTACTTTAATAAGCAGGATATATCTCAAGACATTTAAACTAAGAGGCTTAAAAAACATGATTATTAATGAATAAATCAATACTGGAGGGAGCTGCACAGAGAAAAGACAAAACTATAAAATCCAACTAAGTCTGACAGCCCACGCTTGTATTCCATTTGAGAGAAACGGCATAGACCAGTGCTCCATGTGGTACACTTCAACTGAGTCATATCAGAAAATACTTTCAATTTGAGGCCCTACTTTCAATTATGGTTATATCTCTCAAAAGGTCAAACTGCAGTTACATCAAGTTTCTTTCTTTTTAATGATTTCTTAATCTAATCAGAAAAGCCATTAAAAAAAAAGCTGGAACGTAATTGCAGTGAACTTTGCAAAGCCTTGAGTGAAATGTTCAAGTGGCTTGATTTTAAACTGCCGAATAACAGTTAATTCACAATCAAACATCCCCAGATAATAAAAGAAAAACATCTAGTTTCCATGACTGAGGTGCTGCTGTCAGAGGCAGAAAAAAATGCTGATAATGAATAATACAAATTTATAAATCTAGACTCAGACACTTACTATTAAACAAACATGGTTGAAGTTACAGGGCATGTCCTCTCTTTTTCTTTTCACTTATTTATTAATATCTATCAGGTTTGATCATTTGCAACATGTGATGAAATTCTGCCATGGATACCAAACATATCCAAAAGCCTTATGGGTTAACTTTGGGTTTTTGACGTTATTGTTTAAACGCAAAGTGACCTGAGGGGTTTAACAAATTGTAACTAATTATAGATCAACACTCTTATTATTCGTATTATTCATGTATTTTTTATCTAACTTATTTCCACTGACATAAGCTGGTGCATGCTTAAGACGTAGTTCAGACTGAAACACAATTGGATACCTATGCTTATGATATGCTTACTTTGTGCATGCCAGCCAAAGCCTAGTGCTGAACAGAGGTTTTTAGGCCCCTTTCAATTTCCTACATCCAACTTTCTTGGCGCCATCTTTGAATAATTTTCTGCAATGGTGAACAAACACTTAAATGCAAGGACTGCTTCAAATCCTCTCCAAAAAAGCATCACAAGCATGAAAATGATCTTTGATATCAGAGAGAATGGATGAACCAGATGAATGTAATTTTCAGCTCTGCTTATTGTTACAAAGCAATGACTTTTTTTCATGGGGAAGATTTTTGGCTGGCTGATGTTTAAATAAAAACTGCTAACTGAATCTATTTTTCTGTAAGCCTGAAATACAATGAAATACAAAAGAACCAGAGATTTTAATTCGTTGCTGGAGAATATGTTGCTGTAATCCCACAGTTTGTAATTACTGCTTATTATCGTTTTTATATGTAATTAAAATTTCATGGCAGAATTTCATCATCCCAGTAACTCAGATTTGCACCAGGTTTCAACAAAGTTAGAATTAAGTTAAGTTCATACAATAAATATTTCTGCATTGGAAAAGACACCTTTATAAAAAGACACATTGCTCATTATAAAATAACATAACATCATATGTCATGAGCATGCACATTTCAATGTGGGCTACATTTTGTTGCAAAAATCATGCCTCAGAATCAATAGATGGTAAAGACTTAATAGCCATTGCAGATAAGAAGGCATGAAGCTGTTATCATTTGTAAATTTTTCTGTACTCTAAGAATTTTAGCTTTTAGTTGCTTGTAAAAGGCATCTTGTTTGACCATCTCGGGTTTGTTTGAGTCATTCAATTTAACCAGAAGTTTCCTCTTATTCCACATGATGGCAACCATGAGCACAAGTTTTCCCAGCGTCATACAGAAGCATCACTAACAGAAGAGGACAGGTTTCTGTCCAGACAGACCGGAACTCGGATGGTTTTTTTTCAAATAAATGTTTATTCTCTTTGTTTTGTTCTCATAAGCACTGCTATTTACATTATCTAATACAATGTATGGGAAAATGCAATTTTCATAGGATAAACAGTTTTCCTGAATGAGGAGAAATGTTCTGAATCAACAAAAATGTATTCACAGTGACATATTAAAAAAGACAATCACCAAAACTCCACCAATAATTGATTAATAAATGTGACCAAAAGTAACTTTGGGTCAACTTGACTTTTAAGAAACGCCATTTCGAAACAACTCTGGCTGTGATGGCCATGTTTTTACCATTAATTCTAAATATTTTCCCCAAAAATTCTCAGTCCCAAATGTTTTGGTAAGTATTTGCAAAGAAGAGTGACAAAATAATACAAAAAAACAATAATGTTTCACTGGTTTCTACTATATCCTAAATTAATCTCATCGAAACTGCAGCATCGAAACATGGGTCAACCGGTTATTTTGAAAAACCTAACCGGAAGTTGTCACCATGACTACGTCTGTCTTGACGCCGGTGCCGTCTGGCCCATTCAGTCCAATCTTTAAATAGGAGTAATACCTCGGCGGGAGGACTGTCGCGGAAGCCTTGTGGCTTGAACATTTTTATTTTTTCTGGATTTTAACCTCTCAGACAAATCACAGGATGCCTTCCAACAAAAATGTCCAAGGTGATGGATGCTACTTTCTTCATTCTGCATCTGCTTATGTCTGACGCTAGCTAAAGCTGGGAGTCCTCACAACAGAGCATCAGAGGCCGCCTGGCAGCAGAGCCTGTATCGATATTATGTTGTCAATGTTCAACTAACCCGAATTTCCTATGACCCTTTTCCAGGTGGGAAAGCCTTCGGGTTGCTGAAGGAGCAGCAGAGGCAAAAACTGGAGGAGATAAACAAGGTATGCGTGTCGTCTTTTTGAGAGCGTTTCTAACGGCATTTCAGTGGAATGAGGTCGCGTGCACTTGACTTGGCATTGGCCTAATTTCTGAACGTGCAGCACACTAAGGCTTCACGGCATTGTGACTGATTCAATGAGGCTGGGACAAATGAATACCCTCACATATATATTATATTATTTGAGCTGTGCTTTGGGGTGAGGGGGTGTGTATTTTATCGACCCCTTCGTCGGTTTCATGGCACTTGTTGAATGGCGGGATTCCCCTCATAATAACGTCTCGGGGGACCGTTTCCCCTCTGACCCGTTTACATCGATCTGAGCGGTCACTGCTCGAAAGCATCCCGAAAGCGTGTTATGTTCACTGCGGCCATTCCCTGCCCTCTCTCTCCCTCTTTTGTTCCGACGGAAGAGACAGGTATTTTTAAAAAGGGCTCTTTGTTTAGCACGGGGCTTTGTGTCGTCAGATAACTATGGCTGTCCCCTCAGATTAACTGGATGTCTGCATAATCTCCGTTTCCCTCCTTCTGGGCTGCCTGTCATCAGCTCAACTGTGCGGCCGCATGGAAAGCCGGTCGCTGCAGGAGGAGGGAGAGAGCCGGTGGCATTTCAGTGCACCACCCTCTGCCCCCGTTAGTTATCTGCTGCCCAGATATGCTGCAGCATTCGTTAGAGAATTTGGCTTCAGAGGGCCTGGTCCAAAAGTAACAGCTGCACCATCAGACACCCAGGATTCTGAGGAATCACATCATTTTCATGAAGTTGCATTAAGATTGGTGTATCTGTGTTCACTTCCAATCCTGGCACATAAACAAGGTTATAAATAACTATTCATGTTAGTTTGGAATTGGCTGTCTCTTTTCCACAGATTGTGTCTTTAGATGTCTTATTTCCCATAAGGGAGGACCAGAAAAGGGATCACACCTGCAACTTTTTGAAAAAAAATTAGAATAATATTGCTGTGACACTAATAAGATTAGATTTTGTGCCAGGCTTTATGGGAAGAATGTAAGCTTGCATCTTTTCTGAGAGGGATATGCACACAAATGACACAAAAGGCTATCTGAACCGAGAGATAAAGGTATAGTTTTCTTTTTCTGACCAGTTAAACATTCTTTAGGTTTCATTTTTTTCAGTTACCGACATTGTACTTGCTCAAACTTTCTTGTGACTGTAAGAGAGGACTTTCCTGTGGGAGGCTGCAGTTCTGAGTCAGCTCATCCTCTCTGCTACACTTGCAGCTGTGATGGTTATCCTCTTTAATTACGAGCTTGAGAGACACACAGAGGTCAACACTGAGAGCAAAATCACCCTCTGTCTTGCTTTCACTTTGAGGAGGAGGATGACTCCCACATGGCATGTTGCGTCATTAGAATTTCATTAGACTAGCTCCCTTCAGGCTCTTCTCACCCCCTTGTGAGGTGTTCCAGTTAATAGAAACCATGATGAGTAATGACAATCCAGAGAGAAGAACATTTTAAGATTATGAATCATCATTCTCAAATTGGATATTTGGACAGGATTAAACTAGATTAATAAATCGCAAATGGAATTGTTTCACATCCTGCAACATCTCTGCAATCACATAAGAAACTTGACAAGTGGTGTCAGAACAGGTCAAATGAGTCTTGGTTTCATCCAAGTCATTAAGATACTGTTGCGTTAGTCTCTCTTTGTTTTGGTTTGATTACCATCACTGTTATGCTCCTCTCGCCTTCATTCTCAGGAATACCTGGAAGACCAGAAATACAGGGATGAGGACGACCTGGCAGAAAAACTGGAAGGCTTCAAAAGTGAGTAAAGTCAGTCTTTCCAGCAGCTGTGCTGGTATCTATGATCCTGGCTGACTATTTGAGGGTGTAACTGCTTATCCTGGCTTTCTTCTACCTTGAGCCTTTGTTTAATTGCTGGCAGTCGACACACCCACATCGGCCCTTTAGTCTTGAGCATTTAGTTGTTTTCTGGGACAGGCTGACTGCTGTGATTTCTAAAAAAACTTGAAGGGCCAAGTCCTCGGTGGCCTTGGAGGAATGTGCTGGGGCGTTCTTCCTGCTTGTTGTTTCAATATTCAGAGCCCTGCTGAGTAAATTCATAGCTTATTCGGACAGAAACAACATTGTTACAAGCTTTTTATTGGAATAAAAATGCTCCAAAAAAACCTAAATAAAAAAGAAACTCCTCCTTTCACAAGATATGACACCGAGATGTATATGTGTTGGTGTTCACCTCTTTTCCCGTCTGTGTTTAACTTTAATATTCACGACAGAGTAGCATATGGCTCTTTTTTCTTATACGGGGTGCTGGCCTTGGAATGAGAAATATGCTCCAGTGTCCTACTTTGAGCATGTGCTTGCTGGAGGAAATGGAGCAGTAATGTATAAACAGAAAGAGGTCCCAGCACCCAGGTCCTGGGAGGATTGCTTCTTTTTTTATTTATTTATTTTTCTCCATCATTTTCGCAGCGCCCAGTGACTCATACGTCAGCACCCCGACACTGCTTTTAACTTCCAATCAGATCACATCAGTGCCGCTCATCTCCACATTAAAACACATTCCTCTTGACGTGAAGGCTGCAGATGGCTGTATTAGTCAACGACAGAGCAGCTCCAGAAACCAAAGCACTCATAAATGTTAAAGAATGATCAAACTCAGACTTGGAAACCTTTCTACTAATGTTAACATTGCAGGGGCATCTTATAAATGCTAATATGACTTGATTGAAGCTTAGACTGAAATCAGCCTTATACAAATGTGTAATAAATAGGTTTCATCTTATCCTACTATAGTATTTAACACTAGAAAGCCCTATAAACCCTCAGTTTGAACTTTGACATCTTCTGTTCCAGAAACATGAAGGCATAGTCTCTTAAAGCTTACATATTGTCTGTAGTAGACATGCGCTGATCTGAAGATACGGTTTGTCATATGAGTGAGCCGAAAAATAGCAACTGAGGAGCCAGAACATAAACCTTTAAGATGGTAGCTAACAGACATCCGCAATGAGTAGGTGAAGCAGTTATCATGAAAATCCTTCAATTCCTGGAAGTGGATGAACATTTAATCTTGTTTCATTCCACACCATCAACCTGCTGAAAGCTAGTCCCAAATAAACTGACATTGGGGGCTTATTCGTACTTTGCCGCAGGATTGTATATATAAAAATGTGTTTCCTTTCAGAAAATCTTGTTTTCCATTTAGAACCAAAATTACATTTACTTTGCAAGTGAGAGCTGTAAAGGAAAAAAATGTATCCTCCTGTCCTTGACTTAAGATTATTTTTTTCTTTTACACATTTCACACCCTTTTTATACATAATCACAAGTGCTTAGTGTTTTTCGAATTCTCTGATAACTGCATGGCTGTATGAAGGCTATTCTCTGTTTTTCACTATCACATAGTCCAATAGGAAGGAGAATGGAATTCAGTCCATCTTATCTGCCTCCAGGGTCGGTCTCTTTTAAAGGCATGAGAAAATTGTTTATCCGTCAGCCTGACTGGCAAGGAAATCGCTCAAGTCATCATGAATTTCTAATACTTTTATCAACAGCCGTTTATCGTTTTCCTGTTGAGGGGAAAGCCCCTTCAGATGAAGTCCACCAAAGTGCTTTGCAAACAAACAACTCATATGAAATCAAAATATCACAACTTCCTATGAATGTTGAAGAAAAAAGGGGTCGTGAAAGGAGTTTTTTACATTTATAGCCTCAGTCGTTTTTGCCGCATGGCTTCTTAGAGGAAACTGGGCCAGGAGGAACTTCAGAAGAGCAGCGTTTTCTGTGGCTGCAGATGATCAACAGGCTGCGGTGCTCTCAAAAAGTTGTGTGTGCGTGGAGGCCCTCTCCCTCAGAGTTTACGAACAGGGTTGGCATTGTCCTGTCCCACTCCCCGTGGGTTCACACAGTTAACAAAGCTCCCCCTCTCCCCCTCCCAACACACACACACACAGAGCTACCATTGTAGGACAGAAATAGCAAGCGTAATCTGACTAAAGTGGTCCTCCTAAGGAAAAGGGAAAGGAGGGAGATTTTGGAGGAAGCACGATCATGTCTGCATCTGATGTTGTGTAAGAAGATTTTTTAGTCGCACGTAAATTTGCTGTCATCAGTTAGTTGAAACGCAGCTTTTCAAAATGATCAGATGTGTCCTAATTTAACAAACTAGAAATCAGAGAGTTAATTAACAGTGTTTTTTTTTTGTAATATTCAGAATATTTAAGAGTGTCGTATTTTTGTTTTTTTGTGCTGATGTTGTGTTATGTGGATCCGTATTGTCACCATCAGTGGTTTCTCTGGAAGTTCCCCGGACGCGAGGATCTGATTGCACTCTTGGAAATCATCTTTGTTTTGACTGCTGCTTCAACTCAAAAGTTGTCCCTAAAGTGTTGGACCCAAATGTTTTTAATCCCACCTCAGCTCCACTCAGCTGCTCTTTGACTGTTTCCTGCTGACAGATGGGCAAAACACACACGAGTGCCCACCTGTCATTGTCAGCTGCTTTCGACTCCTTTTGCTGCTCTCAGCAGAGTGTATGACTATCGGGTTGTCGGGCTGTGTGTGTGTGTGAGCGTGCGTTTGTGTGACTGTTTTTGCTTGGAATTTGTGTTTTTTGTACAGGAAAAAGTGGAGTGTGAGCCGGGAATGAACTCCAGCTGTAAATAACAATCATACGTGTGTTTGCTTTTCAGATAAATATGCCGAGTTCGACCTGAATGACCAAGGAGAGATCGGTGAGTAAGAATCAGTAAAACACCAGCTGCGCCCCGCTCAACAACTGTCAGCACGTCTGACCCCACTGCAGTGTGACAGGAGGGAGCAGTAATTAATGCTGAGGGTGGATTGTCTGGCCACTGTGAGCCCAGGACATGAGGCGCTCATGTGTCATGGCTGATGTAAAGTGAGACCACAGACTAGTGTAAAACACACATTAATTTCGACTGAGCAGGTGTGGCGTGGACTTTAGAAATATCGTACAGCTGCAGGTCCTGACACCTGCCTAATTTCCTCGAGGTCAGTTTTATTTGCGTTGTTAAAAAAGCCAGTCATTCGGAGCAAGTACAAAGTTATTAATTTATGTGTGACCCTCTTTCTGCCGCTGTGCCATCACAGCAAAAGGGTGTCTGGTTCCCATCCTGTCTGGGGCCGTTCTGCATGGGGTTTTCATGTTCCCTGTGCATGTCAGCTAAACCTTCTCCAGCTTCCTCCCAACATCCAAACACACGGATGCTAGGTTGAATAGTGACTCCCTGTTGTCCCTAAGAATGAGTGTTCTGTCTGTGTGGCTCTTCAATGGTGCTGGCGACCCATCCAGTCTATACTCTGCCTCCCCCCCCCAATGGCAACTTGGATAGTCTCCAGCCGATGCAAGCCCCAGCTGGATGAAAGGAGTTTAGAAAATAGATGGACGGACATGCACGGCACAACAATTCAGCCCTGTATATGTCACTGGCATGTATAAGCTGCAAAGCATGCGGAGCTCAGTTAAGAGTTTAACAGCAGTGTAAAAAATAGTGAAAGGTTTCAGTGCATTCATAAAAAACTGATATGGTAATACTTACTTTTACAGTGGGAAGGAAAGCTGAAGTTTACAATCTTTGCTTTTCAAGTTATTCATTTACTAATGATCATGACAGACATATTCAAATATTTTGAAATCAATTCATGTTTAGGATTCAAAACGTACACATCTTTCCACTTTGCTGTTGTTTTTCACAGACCCACTAATTGAGGATGTTCATTCTTCACTTTTATTTGTTTAAAAAATCCATAATCCAAACTCAGATTTGTTTCAGTTAACATGTGAACACCAGGGTTTTGCTGTGCTGTCTGTATGTTTATTTTTCAAATCAAATGGAAGACAAAATGTATCAGATCACTCAACTATGGGTTAAAAATGATGGATCAGAAAAATAACTGTATTTAGTATATAGTTTTTTTTTTCCTTGTGGTTGCACTGTGACTTTAAGGTTTATGTAAAGTGGGAATTTAATTTACCGGATGCTTAGCGAGTGACTAAGTGAAGCCTTGCTCTTCTCGTGTTTGGTAATGTTCTCCGTCCTTATCGTGGGTGTAACGGTCAGCTTATCTGTCTCTCAGATCTAATGGGTCTGAAGCGGATGATGGAGAAGCTCGGGGTGCCCAAGACTCACCTGGAGTTGAAAAAAATGATCGTTGAGGTGACGGGCGGCAGCAGCAGCAACACCATCGACTACAGGGACTTTGTCAAGATGATGCTGGGAAAGCGCTCCGCCGTGCTCAAACTGTAAGTAAACTGAACTGTTGGTTTTGTTTTGTTATTGTTTATTTCTAAAAAGACATTCATTTCACACGTGGGACATTCTGTAAACAAACTGCTGGTTTATTGTGTTCATCTGCCTGAGAGAGAGGTTAGCAACATCATTCAGCTGCTTCACCCATCACCGGGGGGCTCGGGCATGACTAGTGATGATGTCACAACCCCTGCTGGTAGCCATGGCAACAAAGCCCTCCCATAAAGCCTATCCATGGTCAACACCCTTATCTTTGGCTGGGATCCTGGGCTTAGGTGACTGATTATAGGCTGATTAACTACTAACTGCCACATAGAGCTGACAAAAGTCCTCAAACAAATCTATGCAGTAATTCCACCTTTCACAATAGGAATTATGTCTAAAAAGGATATCATTACATTTTTAAAGTGGTATTTGTTAGATGAAGTAACACATGTTTATCGTTTTTGATCGGGGGTAATGTAGACATTTAAGCTTTTTAAAGCAGCCTTGCTCCGGTTCAGCCTGCTGTAGGAAACCAGCATCGCTGCGGCTGCTTGCCGGCTCCGCCAGACTGAGCCGACTAGACCCCTTGGTAGACAAATCTCATAATCCCAAAAATACGCAGAGGAGAAAATATGCAGTATTTCCTCTTTTGCCCTCAACCATTTTTTAAAAGTGTATCTCATAATCCCTCAGCTCGCTATTTATACATTTCTAATTCCCTACTGACCCTCTCATCCACCTGCTGGCATTCTACTAAGATAACATTAGCTTTCCCGAAATCCCTGTGTTTTTTCACCCGGACAATGGGGAGGCAGTGTTCAGATTTTGTTTTTAGAAATGGTGGTTTAAATAGAGGGTGAAACCCGAGGCTCATCAGGGTCCACTAGTGCACAAAGCGTGCATCGGTATCTCACACAGCATCAAGGTGGTTCTTTGTTTTGTTTTTTTAGCCGCCTGCCGCCTTCTGGACCTGCTGATAATAGCTGCGGTCTGCAAAACCCTCCTAGTGGTACTGCTTTATTCTTTGAGAAAGGAAATGGGTGTGAGGAAAAGGGCAGAATAGTGATATTTAAAGCATTTGGCTGGACAACAATTGATTTTTGTTGCAATTAGAGGAAAACAATTTAGGTCAGCCTCCACAATTGAGCTCGCTTTGTATCAGGGCAACACGTATGTTCAAAAGGGCACCCAGTCATCGTATTTTGTTCCGCCAAGGTATTAGAGAACACATCTGGCATATAGATAGAAACTCTGAAACTCAGCCAAGCATCTTAATGTGATGCTGATGTGTTATCACAGGATGTGAATGCGTCATAGCGCGTGTGTCATTTTGTAGGTCTGAGGCGACGCACAGTGTGTATTCAGAAACAAATCAGGCATCAGTCGTGACCTCGTGCTGCTGGGGAGCAGAGAAGTCATCAGTAAGTGTGAGGAATTACACAAGTGAAAGTGGTTGTCAGAGACGTGCCAGAGCCGACTTCCTTGTTGGGATCATTGGTCCTTATGGGCTTAGTGGAGCTTTGCAGGGTTTTCCAAAAAAGGAAATTAAAGACAGGCATTCGCTCTGAATAGCTCCCGTCAGATCAGTTGCTCTACTGTGTATGGCATAAACCACCATTCCCCTCAGAGTTTTTGTGGCTTCCCTTCATTCCATTTCTCCCCACATTCAGCATAAATCCTTCATATTTTCACTGTGGTGGCTCGGTTCTCTGTGTAATCCATCTTATCCCTTTTTTTGCACCTCTTTCACAACTTTATGTGTCTCTGTAATTTACATTCAAAGACATTTTCCTGTCTTCAATTGTCTCTCCATGGAGCTGATGTCATCAGTCTCCGAATAGTAATTTCATTACGTTTAACAAGCATCATTAGTGGAACTGTTGGTTATTACAACAGAAAACTACCAAACTAATGCTGATGTAGTTTAAATTTCTTTCATTGTCTGTTAAATTAAAGAATCTAAAACATGAAAAGAACATATTTTTCTGTTTTGAGTATTGTGCATGTGACAGCCATGCTAGATGGATATGCTTGTTTCCACATGACACCAGGCACAACTCCCTGTGTCATCACTACAAAACGTGCAGCTTTAATTGAAGTTACCGTTCAGTTTGACCTGGTACTCTGGTTTAACAGAGCAGTAAAGCTCCACAAGCAGTCCTTGTATTCACGGTGACCTCTAAATATGCTGCATAGCAAACAGAAATGAGAGAAATTCCAACCTCATAGATCCTTCATTTCAGTCTACATGCACTTTCGACATCTGAGCTCAGGTGTTGCATGAAATATCAGAAGTTAATATGAAATGAGCTTTTGAAGTTTTTGCATTTCTTTTACCCCCTGTAGAGTTTTGATTTTTGAAGACAAAGCCAACGGAGCAACCTGCAAACCAGACGGACCCCCTCCAAAGCGGGACATCGCCAGCCTGCCTTAAGGATACGACGACAGGCTTCAAACTCTGGAGCAGAGGGACCATCTGTGGTTACGCGGTATAGCGTGGGGTGTTGTGTTAACATGGGACCAGTGAACCAGGGTGTTATTTTGTTCATGTATGACGTGTATGAGGTTTCTGTTGTTTGGAAGACGGAGCCCAAAACTCACAAAGTGATGTCTTGACTGTGAATATTTTTCATGTTTTTTTTGTTTTTTTCCTTTAAATCAAATGTAGCAGTGATAGTTATAAATGTAATCTGATGGATAAGACACATTTTTTTACTAAGCATTTCATGGTTGTATTTTAAGGGAAAAGCATATTTCATATATTTTAGAGAGATTCAGTTTAACCATATGAGAGAGAAGGACGCTTTTGGAGAAGCACAAGATGCGAAGAAGTTTTCCAATATCTTCACTATCCTCAGTAGTCTTTCTCAGAACACTTGCCAGGCTAATCTTGGTCAGCGTATCACTTCAGATGAGGTGCCAGAGCATACAGGGCCAGCCTGTTTCCTCTGGATCGTCAGCCCATGAAGCCCAAACGCGGATCTGGAACACGTAATTGAGGTATCTGAAAGCGATAATCATTTGAAAGTGAGTGCGCTGCTATGTGCTTTAAATATTCACTCGCATTAGCTGGAGACAAAAGTAGGAGATTGAGTTAAAGAATAACCTTGGGCTTCCACGTAGGGCTTGAAGAACAGTGAGGCTGACTTAGTTTTATACCCGTCAGGTTGAGCACCCACTCATTTTGGAAGGAGTGTGATTTACAGGCACACAAGCAGAGCAACTGTACATAGTACGCTTCATGAAGTACAATCATATTCTTTCCAAGTGCCTCAACATGCAGACACTGTAGAGCTTAAACACAGTTAGGAGACGGATGAAGAACACACACGTTTTCACTTAAAGAAGTTCTTATTCATTCCAGAAAACCATGAAATAATCTTTCATATTTGGTGGTATTTGTTTAATTCCATTTGTGTGTGGGTTTTTTTTGTTCTTCACAGACTTCTGAATGAAGGCTCCTCTTTCTTAGTCTATTTTTTTTATGTCGAACCAATATTGTCTTCATCGGTGGGAGTTTTTAATCTGTGTGTTGGAGGACTTGTTTGGATTTAACACGCCCCTTTAAAAATCAGTCAGCCTTTTTTTGTTTGTTTTAAAGCTGTTTTTTTTCTATCCCTTTTTTTTTTTGTCCTTTGATTCCATAACTTGTGCCTATGTATTTATCTGACCATTTGAATTTTCCTGTAACTCGCATTAAATGTTGTGAAATTGGTACTTTTACACATAACACGTTTCACACGATTGTTGTTTTCTGTCTCGTAGAAACATGGCATATTTTAGTATTGTTGCAAATGCACACTGCTGCAGACACCAAAGGAATTAAAGTTCTTACACTGGCCTGTTAAAGTGTTTTACATTGCTCAGTGTGGTAACGGAAGATATTTTTGTTAAATGGCTGCTTTCACGAACAAATGACGAGGAGGTTGAAGGCATCAGGACAGGTGCTATGTTTTCATTGAAGTTTATGTGTTGTATTTTAATATAGAACCCCATAACAGTTTTTTTTACCCACAAATGTAACATAAAACATCAATTTGAATGTTGCACAATCATCAATCTACCATGCAAGATAGTACTAAGGGGGAATCTTTTGTTTTTAACACATATCGGCTCGCTGTATTGCTCAAATTTGTATATATATATCTATAAATATATATATATGTATATATATACTTACACACACACACATACATATATATATACACATAATATAGAAAAATATCCCTATCATTTCTAGTGACGTGCATTCATGTGCACTTGAGCAATAGAACAATAGAATATTTTCATGAAAAACCTTGTGAGTTCAAACAGTCCTTGAAACAAGCTTGAATGTGTCTCTGCGTACTGCTACTAATTTGAGGGAGCAGCTGCTGTGGTGTGGAACAGCACAGAGGATAATAAGCAAGACTTTGACGAGCATGCTAACAGACGGGCCCAGTAGGATTATAATAAGCACCTCTGTAATTAAAATGATAACCACTGTTGCATGTAATAAACTGCTAGGAGCTTATGTCGCCACAGGAAAACAACTTAGACAAAGCCGGAAAAAAATAAATAACTGCAAAAGACAGCAGCTCTGACTCTGAGCCCATTAAAGGTTTCTACAGTCGATACTTGATGTTTCCCCAAATTTTTCTTAAAATGTTAGAATTTTAAGTAGACTACGTTTGTATCTCTTCTTGCCTTGACTGCACCGTCTCCTTCTTGTTAAAGGGACTCTTCCAGATGGATTGTTATTTATTTTGAAAGCCACACCATTAGTTTGGAAGTTACATCATTCTGCATGAGGAAGGACCCCCTCACTGGTTTTGCTGTCTCTGAGACAATGGATGTGCCATCACAGTTAATCTCAAAGCAGGCCTCTCCTTTACTACCATTAACTCTACATTCTTTCATGGATGGACATTGCCATCTACTGGACACTCAATATTACATTTAACTGATAGGAGCAGGTTGAACCATTTCACACACCAAAGCATCAAAACATTGTCCATCTTCTTGTAACCAAGAAAATTAAGATTTACTTTTATTGAAACGATCTCTAAAACGGCTGCTCTCATTCTGCATTTTAATTTGTACAATTCATACACAAGAATTACTCCATGGTGTAAAACCTCAATTTTAGTGAATATGTATGTATTCCTTTGGCCTCCATACATGAAAAAAACATGCTTCTATTATATTTTCTTTAGATTGTTAATGGTGTTTAATTTTTCATAGGCCATCCAGTCTTCAGCAGTTCACCTGCAGATGGTTCAGACCCCACCCAAAACGATGCTAACAAAAGGTACAGCAGAGAATGAGCTTTTCACTCCAGTCTTTGAACAACTACTCGTTATCCTTCCAAATGTTGGCCCTCGTTAGCTTCCAGTAACTTCCATGGAGTGCTGTAAGTAATGAGACATTAAAAAAAAGTTTTAAAAAAACTTGGAAATATGTAATTACATATTAAATTAAGTGTAATTTACTGGTTTAGCAGCCATGGTTCATGTTTGGACTGTTTGCATGTCCTTTTTGGCTTTGGAATTGGCTTTGTGTTGCATAAATGATCCATCAACACTCTTGTCTCAGCAGTGTGTCATGTTCCTCATTGACACAGAGCCATGGTTCTGGTCTCAAACTGTCTACTCACTATTTAAACAAAGGCCTTTTTGTTAAAAAAAAAAAGATATTCATACAGAATGCCTGTCAAATGGGCGTGGAAACATTTGAGACCAGTCAGCTGCACTTCTAGGAAGAAACTAAAGAAATATTCCCTTTTTTATCTTTTTGAGGAAGGTTTTTGGTTCTATATCAATACATTTACTACTGAGAGAAATTTAAGTATTTTTAAATCCATCATATATAAAGTTCTAACAGTGTTTTACACTTCAATTCTAGATGACATGACAACCAAGAAATATTTGTACAATTGTGCTTGTTGGCCCGAGTTTCCATAGCAGAATAAGTACGTGTAATTCAATTGCCATTTTGTTTCGATGTAGCTTGTGGCCTTGACTTCAACTTGCAACAAACAAAACACAAACAGCAACTTTTTTGAAAGTGGGTGACAACGCTCCGAATTCTGACCTCTCGGCGTGCAGTGAAGGCAGCATACTACGTTTCCGACGTTTTTGACGAATCGCGCAGGAGTCGCGGCGCCTCCCACCCTCCGTCCGGAACAGAGCCGCTGGAGAGACGCACACATCGGAGTTCGGTCCGTCTCTGCCTGCTGTTAGCTCACCCCGCAGAAAGGCCACTGCGGGAAGATGGCGACGGAAAAACAAAAACATGAAGGAAGAGTTAAAATTGGACATTACATTCTCGGCGACACGCTCGGCGTAGGGACGTTCGGAAAGGTTAAAGGTTCGTGACTGACTCGGCATCCTGTGTAGCGGAAGATGGTGGTAACGAGCGCTTTTAGCTTAGCTGCTAATTTAGCCTGCTACCAAAGCTTACTTGACGCCACGCAGGGGAAGGTTTCACTCGAGCTGTCACGCTACTATTTCAACACCCTTACGACGAAAATGGCAATTTGCCGGCTATAACTGCAGAATACAGCGCACGTCGAACGACTTTGTATTGATTGTCGTTTAGCATCAGTAGCTTTATGGGCTAGCCACAAGTCGCTGTCAAGATAGATACCGGGAAGTAAACCTGGCCAACTAGTGATACCGCTAAGTCGATAAATAGTTATGAGGCGTGTTTCCCTGTCTTCAAACATGTTTAAAGTTAGTACTGGCAGCATTATAGTTCGGCTTACTCTTCTCTATATGAGTTGAATTTGTTCTAAAGCGCCAGAAGTGTTTCTGTTTTCGTTTTGATGGAAGTGAACAAAGCAGTCAAATCTACGCCCAGTGATTTCAATACGGAGGGCGGCACGAGTAGAAACCTGCGTCAGTCCTGCTAGTATTGATTAGTAAACACTTAACTTTGACTGAAATGCAAAAGTTGGACTGCACAGAGATCAGTGTGTCTCACCCCAGTCTTATCTAGAACTTGGTCTCGTATAAACATTTGATCTTAATCTGAGATATGAAGAAAATTAAGCAACTGCATGAAAAATAAATAGATAGAACAACTCCTAGCTGTTTAAAATTGGTGAAACACCAGTGAGTAACCTCTCTCCCGCACTTATTTTCTTTAGTTAAGAGAAAAATGGACTAGGGACCTAACAACTGTTACACAATTCTAAGGTGTTTGCAAGCGTTTTTTAATGTTAATACATTTATTAGGGAAGTTATCGGTTTACTTTATGCTAAAAGAACTGTGGACATTGGACTTGTATTTGTCAGGTAGAGGGTAACATAACTCTTAACAAACGCAATTGTTTCTCCCTGTTTGCTATATGTAAATACCAAAGTGCCATGATGTCTGTGTAAATCTTAGTATGATTTGTTCAAGCTTTGTTTGCACTGTTGTTTCGCGTTCAAAGAAATAACTAGTTGTTGACGACTGGAAATTTTCCTGTATATAGCTAATGTTTCATTTTTCCAGTTGGCCAACATGAGCTTACCAGACACCAAGTGGCAGTAAAGATCTTGAACAGGCAGAAGATCCGCAGCTTGGATGTGGTGGGAAAGATTCGACGGGAGATCCAAAACCTCAAGCTTTTCAGGCACCCTCACATAATTAAACTGTAAGTCCTAGATTGCACACCGCTCACTGCTCCATAATCCCCCTTCCGCCACATTAATGCCACCCACTGAGCTATTTCCAGACTTTAATAGTATGCTCCAGAGCACATCCATCAAAGATGGTAACCCTTTGACCCAGTCAACTCTTGTTGGTTTACAGAATCGCCTGTTTTGTTTATCTCCTCTGTTACTCTTCCATTTTACTGCACAAATGTGGATTATCATAGCCTTTGTCTTTGTCAACTGTGTGACCTATTGCTTTTAAATTCTGTTTTATTTAGCATTCTTTAGAGCTCCCACTTTCATCCCAGTCTCATTTTTGTTAGATTAATCATGTGGTCTGTCTGTTTTAGGTTATGTGCAGCATAATGAATCTGCACCCATTTAATCTGAAAGATAAGAGGTTTTGAATTAATCACCCAAAATGGAATCTGTCTGTGAAACCAGGCGTCCCGTCTCAGTATGCTGCGGTTTCTTACATATAAAAACATCTTAAAATGTGATGCCCACCACTACTGGAAAGAAAAATGAGCCTCAGTTTTCATTATCAAAGACATTTTTTACAATCCGCTGTTGATCGTAAAAGATTGTTAGACAGTGGCTATGATGCTTCCTGTCTGGCCTGTGAATGTCCGCAGGCCCTACACCACAACTACTTGACTGGTAAATAGACTCAGAGGTGGGGCTAATTTTAAATAGCAGTCCGTGTCATGCATGCTGCACAAGAATGTAAACTTTGTGTTAGAGCTGGAGAAGGAAGATCCAATCTTTAACAGGGTGCACAAACCTTTGGGGCAAAGTGCAAAGTATTGTCGTTTTAGTCTAACTACAGGTGGAGCAGTGCTACATCACACAGGCTTTTTTAGTGTTTTGGACTTGCTTACTAATAAGTTAATGATAAAGCTGACAGTTTTTGTTCTTTGTTTAAGCTTGTGCTGATTTGCAATAAGGTTGGCATTTTACAGCCATGTTTGATTATCGTTGACTCACGAATTTTGAAGAAAAAGGTCCTTATTATCATTGTAGGAGGTTCTGCTCCTACATTGTAGCAGTCAAATGGCAACCCGTCTTCCAACAGCTGGCCTAATGAGCTGAGCAGTGTCAAACATATTCTATATCAGGGGTTTCTAACTCGTTTTATGCCGCCCAAAGTTTTGCTCGATGCATTTGTGTCCACAAAAAAAGAACGTATCACATCTGAGCTCAAAGGCAGCCACCAAATATGGTCTTCACCCATTCTTCAGGAGTGTCTGTTAACGGGTCCATGAGCCTGCTTCTTTTCCACTCGCGGCCATTGTTACGGGCTAGATGTGTCGGCTCTGTCTGATTCTTATCTTCTGCAGTTAACGTTCAGAAGCCATTCGCAGCAGAGTGGCTGTTTTTTCAGTTGTACTTTATAAAACCTCAACCGTAACAGGAGAAGAAAAAGTCGTCTTAAAACGTTTACAGTCTGGTGGCCTTTACTTGCTGATTGCTGGACATCTAGAGTAATTTACATACAAAAAGGTGTTCATTAAGACCTGAGTGTTATGGTAAGGGAAAATGAAATCAGTCCTGGATTTGAAGACATTATCTGTGTTGTGATTTCGGCTATATTCACATCTGGATCATCAGTTAAAGGTAGAAGGGATAGAAAGTTCGCTTTTATGTAGACCATAATGCCATCTGTGTAATAAGCTACAAGGACAACACTGCATACTCAAACCACTAACTCAAGTGCTGCTGTTAACCCTTTACTGCCACCGGCTGATCAGAAAGAAACAGAGAGAAGTCTGCCTTTGATACAGAATCTAAGCCGTGAATTGATGGGACACGTGCAGCGCTTTTCACAACGCGTGCCCCGCTTTAAGCAGATGGCCTTGTATTTTTGGATGATTTAGTGTTGACAACTTTTAATCAGATACATATATTTGCATTTTATCAAATTCCATTTGAAGGTAAACAGGAAAATGTGGTAATTACATAATAGTGCATAAATCATTAGATGTGGGAAACTTTTTTTTTTGGGGGGGGGGGGTACTGGATCCTCCAGGCTGATGAGTCATGCAGAGCACAAATGTATTTCATCTGACCAGTTTTAAAGTTTCTGTGCTCCACAGTCAAACTGGCTGCTGTGTCAGTGTTAACTCTCACCTAATAACACCGCCACCCTTTTTTTTTAGGCATATGATTAAAACTAACTGATGTAAATGTTTCTTTTTCTTGTTGTAGGTATCAGGTTATTAGCACCCCCACAGATATCTTCATGGTGATGGAGTATGTCTCAGGGGGAGAACTCTTCGATTACATCTGCAAAAATGGAAAGGTAATTGTGTGAGTGTTCTGGGACTCCCACATTTTCCACGGCATTCTCTGTAGAGGATTTATACACTCACCAGTCTCTTTGGAAGGTACACTTTCCAAAGAGCTGGTCATCATTAATACTTAACCAGACCGTGGCATTTCTAATGATGCTCAACTGGTAAACTGTGTTTGTGCCATATGTAAGAATGTAAAAAGGAAAAGATAATGGGGATTACCAGAGTGTGTCAGAATTCTTTTTGTGCGTCTTGTGCTGATGATCGAGTAGTTGTTCAAATGTGTGAACCTTGAGCCAACATCAGTGCGAGTGGATGTGGAAAGACACCATGAAGGCATGCTTAGTCAGCGACAAGGTGCGAGCTGAGTTGCCGAGAAGATCGCACCTAACAGGCACGTCTGTTTTTACAGTTGGACGAGAAGGAGAGTCGGCGACTGTTCCAGCAGATCATTTCAGCGGTAGACTACTGCCACAGGCACATGGTGGTGCACCGAGACCTCAAACCTGAAAACGTGCTGCTCGACGCGCACATGAACGCCAAGATCGCAGATTTTGGTACGTCGTACACTCCTCTTTCATAAGCGACTAAAAAAGAGGTGTTCTGTAAAAGTCCCCCCGTGCTAAAAAGCACATCTGTAAGATGTTTTTTTTGTGGGTGATAATACATGTCATGAGCAAAGTCAGAGGATTTCTGCCTCTACCTGTGGAGCTCCAAACAAAGACTTAACCGTTCAGGGTGAGGTCAGACAGCCTGGATGTGCAGTGTAGACTGTTGGGAGTTATCAGTGCAGGCCAATTGTGACTTGCTCAGGGGTGTGGCTCTTGCCATTTAGTTTGCATGCACTGTGAAAGGCAAAATGAGGGCTGGAGATGAGTTCCTGGCTTGGAGGACAAAGCATTAGAAAAAAACTGAGCCCGGATCTGGAGCACTCAGCAAGCCCCGTACTCCTGGTCCTCCTCCTGACTCCCCTTGCTCTTGGACTATATAGGTATGGTCATGAAACTCATGAGCTTTGGGAGCAAACATGGCAGCAGAATGGCCAAGCAAGACGTCACAGCATCCTGCAAGAGATGCAAGCAGTTTAAAGGCTTAGATCAGCTTTTAGAGGATTAGTTTTGGACACAGAGGAAAAGGGTGACGTTTTTGGTTGGGCATTTGAAGTCTGTGGCACCGCATGGTTCGGGATATCCAGTCTCCAAACATTACAATGCTCTTCCCATTATCTAGAGTCCCCGGGAATCATCAGTGTTGTACAAATGGATGCAACATTTCTTAGCAAGCTCACCTGTAAGATGTTTTTTATTTGTGTTCAAATCGTTTTCATTTGCAGGATGTATAACTCTTTAAAATGATGTGCAGGTTTGTCAAACATGATGTCAGATGGCGAGTTCCTGAGAACAAGCTGTGGTTCTCCAAACTATGCTGCACCTGAGGTCATCTCAGGAAGGTAACCTTTTTGCTTGCCATTAGCAGTCATTGTAAATTTGATACAAAACTAAAAGGCATCCCTTCTCTTTTCTCGTCCAGATTATATGCTGGTCCAGAGGTGGATATTTGGAGTAGCGGTGTCATTCTTTATGCCTTGCTGTGCGGGACACTTCCCTTTGATGATGATCACGTGCCAACTCTCTTCAAAAAGATCTGCGATGGGATCTTTTTCACCCCACAGTATCTGAACCCTGCAGTAATTAGCCTCCTCAAACACATGCTGCAGGTAGACCCAATGAAAAGAGCCACCATCAAAGAGATCCGGTAAGCCCAAAATGTTTAAACTTTGTTGTCTGCTGGAGTACAAGCAAAGGTGGCCTGTTATCCTCTTACACTCATGAGGTATGTTGTGCCATCATGTCCTCCCCACAGAGAGGACGAGTGGTTCAAACAAGACCTACCAAAGTACTTGTTTCCTGAAGACCCCTCCTACAGCAACAATATGATCGATGACGAGGCCCTGAAGGAAGTGTGCGAGAAGTTTGAATGCACAGAAGAAGAGGTTTTAGCCTGCATATACAGCCGCAACCACCAGGATCCACTAGCTGTCGCCTACCATCTCATCATTGACAATCGCCGCATCATGAGCGAAGCCAAGGACTTCTACTTGGCGTCCAGCCCTCCGGACTCGTTTCTGGACGACCAGCACCTGACCTCCTCTGGTGCAGCCGTCGCTGGCATCATCAAGCCGCACCCTGAGCGCGTCCCCTTTCTCGTGGCAGAGACCCCCCCGAGGCCTCGTCACACACTGGATGAGCTGAACCCCCAGAAGTCTAAGCACCAGGGCGTCAGAAGGGCCAAGTGGCACCTGGGTATCCGCAGTCAGAGCAGGCCCAACGATATCATGACAGAGGTGTGCCGTGCCATGAAACAGCTCGATTACGAGTGGAAGGTAAGGACGAATGTCAAAGAGGCGGTCAGTGGAAGATCGTTCATGCGTTACATGTAAATGTTTGCTAATAGCTTCATTTGAAGCCTGTTTGAACCAATCCTCTCAATCTCAATGACCTCTCCAGGTGGTGAATCCATATTATCTGCGTGTGAGAAGGAAGAATCCTATCACTGGGATGCAAACCAAGATGAGCCTTCAACTCTATCAGGTGGACAGTAGAACCTACCTCCTTGACTTCCGTAGCATAGATGGTAAGTTTTCCTTTGCTACTCCTCAGAGGTGGACGGTAAAACAGATGAACTTTGGCCCAGCGTAACTGTTTATAGATCACCGTGTTCTGCACAACAACATGGTTACAGCATAACTTCTGTCTCTCTCTCTCTCTCTCTCTCTCTCTCTCTCTCACACACACACACACACACACACACACACACACACACACACTGCTCATAGTTCCTAGTTAAATGAATAAAACTCCCATCCTGTGGCAAGTTTGAAGTTGACACAAAATGAAGAAATGAGGGAACTGAAGGCTAAAGCAGCTTCATGAATCAGTTGGATATAACCAGGCTGCATCTTTCTCTGAGACTCCTGCCATGTAATGCACTTTGTAAGTTCACTACAGTTCTGCTGGCACTGAAGCCCATGAGCCACATGTAACAATTCTGAGCTTCTTTTCTACCCCGGAGCTTTGTTTGGCTTCAGAATGCTGCCGCACGCTTCTCTGCAAAACAAAGTTTGGGATGAGAACTTACCTGACTCCACCACGCTGTACAGCAGGACAACCCGGGGGGGTTTCTCACCGGACTACATTCTTATCTATGAATGCTGCCCAAGATTTGGATCTTTTCCCTCTCTGAGTTGGAGGACAAGATTAACACCTCCTCCTTTAATTGCTTCCTGTGCTCTTTCAGGTTGCAAACATTAAGTCAGAAGGAAAAACATCCAATATTGAATTTCTGTATTGGAATTTACTCATTATATTTGTCTGACCCGGGTTTTGCTCCCTTTGGAAAAGCCTATTTATGTTAACCTCTATTTGGAAGCCAGTCCTTGAAGTAGCCCCCTGTGTGTAAGTAGTGTTATTTGCATTCTCTCCTGCGTGACCCCTCAGTGTGGAATTCATAAATGATTGACTGAGTTCAGAGCTCTGGGAAATATGCGAGGGGCGATTTGCTGGAGCTCAGGAAACCGTTTGAAGTGTTGTTATGTGGCACTGACATGCTGTGTAAAGGATATGAGGAAAAAGACGTTCACTTCAGGCTACACTTCTGTCATTTCTGATATTTATGTTTTGGCTTGTGGGATGGAATGCTGATTGATATCGACATTGAAACCAAAACATTGAAATGCAGTTACTGTAAAGCTGGGAACTCCTGGCATGTTTTTCAATTTAAATGTAAGCTCAAAGACATTTAAAATAACATTTTCAGGAAGTTCCCAGGAATGACTGAAAACTCAAATCTAAATTTAAATTTAGAGTTGTTTATCAAGATTGAATGTATTTAATATCGTGGTCTTTTAACATTGCTCAGTTTACATCTGCTCTTATTGTATTACATACAGTTTTTGCAGGAAAAAATTGTTCAAAAACATTTTGGGCTCGATGATTAAAAGGCATTTTAACATATTTTTTTACATGTTTGCATAAACTGTGAAGAAAAACAAGTCTGTCTTGTTTTATTCAGATGATATGTTGGAGGCAAAATCTGGAACTGCTACCCCTCTCCGCTCCGGCTCTTTGGGCAGCAATCGCAACACTATTAAGAACGATGTCGATGGGACAGATGCTGCAGCCACATCTAGCACTGTGCAGCCCACAAAAACTGCTGAAGGCTCCCTGGCTTCATCCCTGACCTCATCCATCGACTCGACGGGGGGCGGGGACATCATGGCTGTCCCTCGACCCGGAAGCCACACCATCGAGTTCTTTGAGATGTGTGCAAATCTTATTAAACTACTTGCACGATAGCTTGCAAAACAATCATAGCTAGCCTTTTCTATTCTCTGAGTGTCTTTATAGCAATAAGCATGCAACCGATTCATGGCTCAGTTCATCCTGACTGAGGATGAAGTGATTGTTCCGTGGCACTGACGCAGGATGGTGCTCCCTACGCTGAAGGGACGTACACTGAGCTTAATGGGTGTGGAAGGGTTTTAGGGGAAAAAGGAATGAGAAGCGCCATCACTTGCAGGGACAGAACAACATTTAGGAAGGGGTCTTAGAATTTTTTCTGATCAATTAAACGCCAGACGTCCACATCCCGCCGTTAGACATATGCAGAGGTTATTACACTGAAGGTTCTGTACTGTAACCGGTGAGCGTGCTCACCCGTACAGACGACGAGATCACCTGTACCTGCAGGAGAGAGGGCGCCAGGCGGGGGTTGAGAGTTTGATGGCAGTCATAGGATGCAGGAAGCACTTTTGCACAAATTTTGTTTTTATTTCCTGCTGCTCATTGTCTCTCAGTGGGGATCAGAGAGGTAGTGCAGACGTACATGCCTGTCACGTTCATTGGACTGAAGAAGTGCGGTGACCCCTGTATTTCTGCCATGTGTCAGGGACAAGACTGCTTCTTCACAATTTTTTGGGGGGGTTTCTGCTAATCTTTAATGCAAAGACTACATGTACATCATTTTGTCCTCGTTGTAAACAATTGTTTGAAATTGTCTGTCCCCTTTTTTATATATAAAGTCAAATATTTATCAGTTCATAAAGTGGATGGAGTGTTGGTTCTAATAGAATGTGTCCTTTTTTCCTTGCATTAAGCTCTATTGCTGGATGGTATATACATATATATATTTTTTAATTTACTGTTTTTAAGTCAATGTCACAGTTTTTCTTTTCATCAATCACAAATATTCTGATACTTGATTGTCTTTCCAAAAAAACTTAAACCTGCTTTTAAAGTTGAAGAGGTGTTTTGCTATGACAGTCAACATCTAAAAGTGTATAATTTTCAGTGTTGTATTCAATGTCAAATTGATTTTGACTTTATTTTTTTCTTTGTTTTTTTTTCATTATTATTATGTTTGAGTAGGATTTGAGTGTGATTACTGATTGAAATGCCTTTTGCTTAAATTCATTTCATAAATGCCAATCCAGCACGTGTACAGGCCCCAGGGCCCAATTTTAAGGAGGAGTGGTAGCAATTTAATGCTGTGCATCGACAGTGTCTGTTTGGCAGGGGAATACACCCATAATATAGCCACCATCTGACATGGTTATGATGATTTTTTTTATTGCTTTCACATTCTTTTCAAGATTTACCTTAATCAAAGCTTTACATGTTTAAACCTGAAACAGACATCAACTTGGATTCATCAGGTACTGTAGATGAGGAACATAAAAACACAAACATTAGGACCATAAATGTGAGTCAGTTATATTTGCTAAGGTTTCATTCCATTTCCTGTCCAGAGTCTTAAAGTTTTAAGTGGTGTCTGTTTGGCTGCCTTACCATCATCAGTACTGTTTATCAGATTTTTTGTAGGTAGAAGTTTGAATTCCACGCAGGTTAGAATTATTGGCACCTATTGCAGTTATAAAGAATATATCACTACACGTTACATAACCCATAGTGTCTGTTTATTCAAAAGTACTTTTTGATTTTTCTTTTCAAAGAATTTGGCATTACAGGACAAAGAGGGGAATTCTTAACTGCTAACTAACACATCTTAACGTATTGCCAAACTACTGACGACATCGGCAGTTTCTCCCATCACTGATAACGGCAATAGAAAAACCAAAGCAAAGTTACAGGCTAAGCTAAATTTGCTTTTCAGTTGGTCAAATTTGATTAATTCTTCTTTTGTACTGAAAAACAGGCACCCATAGTCAAATTTATCTAAATTGATTTCAATTAAACAGTATGAGTTCCCAGTGTTTAGTTGTCAAAAGCTTTAACAACTGACATTCCAGACATACAATAGAAACTAAAATTGGAGAGTGACAACAATTTTAACCTGTTTTCTTTTTTTGTGTTCTGCAGTAAAGGTTTGGACTTACAATATTAAGTTTATATTTGAACATAAAATGTTTTTAAAAAAGGAAGAAAAAAAGAAAACAACTTGTGTTTGAGACAAATTGTAAAACATAACATTTTAAAACAGTTGCAAGTATTGATCAAAACTTGACATTGCTTACTTGGTGGGTTTTTGTAGGAAAGACGAATATGTGCTGAAATATTAACTTTTTGCTTACTTGAGAAAAAGCATCCTGGAAGACTGTTCAATTTCATTTGAACTGCTAAGAAGATAAAACTTGTTCTATTTTTGTTTGATGTTAAAGGGGACCCCACCAGATTGACCAGTGTAAATTTGAATGGAAAGTGTTGAATAATTTGTATACACAACCGCCTAATAAACTGCTACATTGCACATTTTTGTTTGAATGGACCTGTGTATGAAAGACTAAAAATACAAGTTTAAGATGAATAAAAAAATAATTCAAATACAATAAATTAAAGGGATAAAATCAAGTCAAATAAGATAGGGAAAGGATCCCAAGTTGTGTGCCGGTGTGTATGGGACTAAATGGTTAGAAATATAACAAGGCGAAAGGCCATGGGGAGCTTTAAAAGTGATTGATAGAATTTTAGAGTCAATTTTAAAACATAGTGGGAGCCAGTGTAATGAAGCTAAAATAGGAGTAATGTTTCTGGACAGTCTGGAGTCAATCAATAGATTTTTGGGTTAAACAGATGAAAAGGCCGTTGCATCAGGCGTGATGAGATGAAGGCGTGTAAAATGGTCTCTGTGTCCTTAAAAGTTAACTTAGATAGAATATTTGCTATATTTCTAAGTTGATAAAAACATGATTGATGAGCTTTGTGGTGCGCTGCTCGAACTTTAAATTACTATCAAACCAAACACCAAGCTTCTTTTCCACAGGCTTAATATGATTTACTAGGGAACCAGCAGATGGCAGTATTTGATTAGCAGTTTTCTGGTATCCACTTACAGTATGTTTTCAAAAGTTTGTTTTATTTCAGTTTGTATTCATTTATTAATAGTCTAAAGATATATTAACGATTGTGTAAATGGTTTATACTTTAGAATCACAAAATACTAACTCGATATCCGCATTAAAAAAACGACTTTTTGGAAAACTAAGTAAAAACGTCCGGGTCATGCTACGTTCAAGTACTATCAATAATTATTGTTGAAATACAATTGAGTAGAGATAACGTCACAGCTGTGTATACCTGTTTAGTGTAGTTGATGGTTACAAATTGAAATCAGATGGGAAAAAAGCTGTAGACTGTGTCTAAATATAATAAGTGGAGTTTATTTTAATGTTTATAATTGCTTGCAGCGGTATTTTTGTTGTTACTGCAATGATCCTGCCACTAAATACGAGTTTAATGTAGGGCTTTGAACGTCACAGAAAGGGCAACAAACTATGGCTACTAATTAGCTCCGCTAGCTTATACTCACTTGGTCACGGACAGACGAGGTTCGTGTGCGTAAGCAGCTCTGCAAAAATATTGACGTTGCATATATACATAAATAATGTACACATTTTTAAAATATGTACTGTGGTTGAAAAAGTATTGAATTGCCAACATTTTGGCATAGTTTTTGCTAGGCAATATTAGCTAATGTTAGCTAACTTAGGTGTGGAATAGTTGTTTTTTTCTCAAATTTTGTCTTTGCTGTCACACTATAAATTGCTGTTGATTACATTTATGAATAAATAAGCTATAAAAGCCCTACCCCTGTGAATTCGGTTTGTTTGGTATCTGGTTGTAATAAAATAGCATGCTATGCATCTTTTCCAATTAAGGTCAGATGGGATGTGTTCTGTCAGTTGAACCGACAGAACACCGGGATTGGGGACACAGACAGCTATCATCATACATTTAGTTATTTTTTCTTTTTTTAGGCACAGAATGGCTTCGTTTGGCTGGAAGAGGAAAATTGGTGAGAGGGTATCAAAGTCAGCAGTGCAGCAGTTTGAGGCTGATGACGACAAAGCTAAGGATGACAGACCAGGTTCGGATGAGGAGGTGGACTGGCTGCACGCTATCAAACGCCGGAAGGAGATCCTGCTGGAGGACTGTGCTGCAAAGAGCAAGAGGTTAAAGGATGAGGGGACAGTGCTGGCTGAACAGAGCAGGTGAGGCCATTTCCGTTCAAAAGGGATGTTCAAACTGATGGGAGGAAAGCAAGGACCTTTAATTGATTATTTAAATGTGACTATACCCCACTAAAGTAATACTTTTATATAAATGACATTATAAACATCTTGTATGCTGCAAATTTACTTGACAGCTTTAAACACCAGTTACTTAGATGATGAATAATTTATACACATAATATAATCTAAGAAACTTAAATTCAACACATCACATCAAAGCTATTCCCTTATCCTTTATAAATTAAACATATTTCAAAAAGCCTTTGTCCACAGTTCAAAATTTCAGACATGATTTTACTTGTGAAATTTGAAATGTTTTTTATCATGTTTGTTGATCTAAATCAAGGAACTGACACAAAATTACCAATTATATGTGTTTTAAAAATGCCAAATTTCTGGGTGCCTGTATGATGTATGAAGCTACAAAATAATTTCCCTCTGGGATTATTAAACTACTACTGATTTTGATTCTGATGGAGAGCAGTGTAAAGCCATAACATCCTCAACATATGAAGCACGGATAGTTTTTCCACTCTGTTATTTCTGTCATCTGCAGAGTGATTCAGAGATCATGTTTCCCTGCAGCGAGATGTGCTGTTGCAAATTCACCAGATGAGGGCACCACTGCACGAAGCATGACTAACAAATTGTGCAGTAAAACTAAGGATTAAAGAAACTTTCAGCAAATATTTCCCTTGAGTGGGACAGAAAACTTACCAGTTTTCCTATATTTGATATAAAAGCTTTGATGAAGTTATGCATCTGGAGTCTGAAATGGCCTGATAAGCATTTATATTTCAAGATATATTGCAATATTATAAAAAAGTGTAATGGTTTTAACGGAAATAGTTGTGGAGATACTGTCCTGGCCATGTATTTTTCAATAATAGAGAGGAAATGAGAAATCACTTTGAACATTAGAAGTTTTGCTCACACTTGTTTGTCATAGTTAAACTGAAAAATGCTTACCAGTATTATCATTTTAATTTTTTCAATTAAGAAATATTCAAGATACTTTTTTGTACTATAGGGGCAAGTAAGAAGAGAGGGACATTCGCGATATCTAATTTTTTCTTCTTCTGCCTTCTAATTCCTTTATTACGACTGACCTCTTTATTGAAATAACAATCTCTTTGTGAAAACGCTTTTGGCAGAGGATGTTATGTTGTTGCTGTTTGTAACTGACTGGTTTTAATGACATTTTCCAGGAAAAAAAAGGATTTTGTCCGGGAAAGGATGTCTTGGAGCTCCATAATTCCCGTTCAGGGGTTTGAGGTGGTGTCTGGTTCAGTTATTTAGGAGTTTTTTGGTCCCTAACAACATTACTTAGACATCTCACTAAGAGTGAGATGTTTCTGATGCTTCTAAACTGAGCTGCTCTTCCTGTTTGTGATCCATTTTGTTTAAAGACTGCATGAGAAACTTTCTGTAAGTCCAGCAAGCGTCACACAGGCCACAACATGTTTTCCGGAACATCATGTGGATCATGTGTGTGTGTAGTCACTCTTGAGATTAAAAAGAAGCTAAGGCGTTACATATGTAGCTGATTATTTGTCACTACTCCCTTAATTGTTGGAGTTGAATTGACATCCACATACTTATATAGTTTACAGATTGTTGGCTTATTTGCATTGGCCATGCTTGAAAAGTTCAGTTTAGGCAACTGGACGTGAAGTTTTAAGCTTGACCATGACCTGGATTACTGAGAATCTCAAAAAATACATTTACAATGTCATGAAAAATGTGAAATATCGCTCTGATTCCATGCATGTTCCCTGTCTATTCAAACTGTTATTGTTTCTTTTATTTCTAACAAACACAGGCTGGCAGGAAAGGCATTCTCTCTACGGTTGCATCTCTTTCTTAGCAACCTTTCTTTTTTTTAAACAGTGGAGATGTGATACCAGGAGAAAAGTCATTTTTATCACAGAGTTGACAGTGGATTGCTTCATTTCCTTTTATGATTTTGCAGTTTTCTTTGCCTCATGCGATTTCCACACTGCTCTAGTTCCATTTCCTCAGTCTTGTCTCTACTTGTTGAAAAAAAGCTGATGAGAATAAACAGCCTTACTTTTTTTTTTTTTCAAATAGCTTTTGAACCTTTTTTAAATCTGTTTCCACAAAGCCTAGACTTGACAGAGATGCTGACAAATCAATGTTTCCACCCCACAGTCTTTTTCAAGTCTTGACTGAATAGTGAGTTGCACAGACTGAACAGTAACCTGTTGATGTAAAGTGGACAAAAAGTGAATATCTGCAGTCAGACAAATGCTGCAGAACAATTGGACGTTTTACAGCTTCTGTGGTCAAAGTTGATGTGATATCATCCCATACCTATACTAACCCTGGATATGTTTATCTGATTGTCTGAGAGGGAACCATGTGACACTCCCAGTAACTTGTAAGCTCTGAAGGGAGAGGCGGGTTTTATTCTCAACCTGCATTAGTAAAAATGCTGTGATTCAGTCAGCAGGTGTTGTGGAGGAGGCTTGGGAGTTCTTAACCTTTTACTCTCTTTTTTTTTTTATCTTGCACATCTTTATGTAAGTGAAAAGTAGACATAACAGAAGAATGAGTCACATCATTTTCACAAAGTTCTGTTTACAGAAATGATGAAGGAAAATCACCTCGAAAGAGAGAGTCTGTGTAAACTTGGTGTTAGGTTCCATTACGTACATCAGATTTCTGGGCGGAGACTTGGAAACAGGGTGTCCAGTTTCTCTGCCTCTTCCAGGTTTATTGTTTGAATTCGCGGCGCCGTAGTGACGCTTTGTCAAAAGACCCCAGCAACACAAAACCACGTCTAGCTTCATTTAGAGCAGATATCTGTAGGATGGTAGTAGCTTTAAATTACAGGTTGGGACCACAGCACCAGAATACCACACACCTGTAGTTAACTGCAATTTTCTACATGTTTTTCTGTTCAGTCATAAGACTGTGTGTGTTTTCTTCAGGCACTGGGAGGCGATTAAGAAGTGGGACGAGGCTCTTGAGCTGACTCCAGACGACCCATTACTGTATGAAATGAAGTCTCAGGTATAATATACTGTCCTGGCCAGGAAACATTCAAGTTATTGTACATATTTCTTCAAAAAAAGTTCTGTATCTTCTAAAATCTGTCTAGAATGGACCTAAAAAGACTTTCTTAACAAGATTTTCTGTCAAATTTCTATATTTATGTGGTTATTTTAAGGATAGTTAAGGACATATTACTGGGGCTCTACACAATAATAATAATACAACCTTTTGACCAAATCAGTATTCATAAAAACATTTTTTATTCATGTATCTGATTCCACGGTTGTGAGGCATGACAGATTATTGGAGAATTGGAAAAAGTTTGGTTTAAAACATAGATCCCAAAGATGCAATGAGAAAAACAGCATCCACCGTTTTCACATCCATTCTTCCCCTCTCCAACTCATTCAGTCTTTTAGCTGAAAAACACAGCCGCCCACACCAGAAGCTGCCCCGGCCTTCACTCAAATCTGCATAACTGACCAATGAAGTCATCTTAACTTGTGGTTTGCACTGCGGCAGTTTAGGACACCTCAAACGTTATCGAAAGAGATGAAATGCAGTAATGGCAGCAGAGGGGCTCCACTAGATGATTCCCAGGTGGAGGAGCATCATTAACAGTATCTGCTCTCCCCCTGCCTACTGGAGCAGGCCTTTGGGTTCCAGCAAGAAGGCTGATGTCAGATCAGCTGCTTCTTCACTTTAAACTGAGACAGATTTGATCAAATTTCACTCTAAGACAGATGAGTGGAGCAGGTGGTTGGCTGATACCATTGCTCATCCATCCTGCTCATTTATGATCATAAGAAATATGGATCCAGAGTTTTTTTTTAATAGTAAATAAAATGTCAGTCATTTTGCTGGTTGGAGTGGCCTACGGTGGTGGATTTGGGCATAGCTTTTCCTGGGTGTTTCAGATCTGCTTTGATGACCGGTCCTGTGAGTGTTTATATAAAAAAACCAGACTGTTAACGTGCAGTATTGATGTTGGTTTATTATCTAAATATGCTGCAGTTCTACAGCAAAAGAAGTTCTGACACTTCTTTTTTTTGTATGTTTATCTCTTCAAGCTATTTCTCCTTCTTTCTATATGCGCAAAAAAAGGTGGATAATTCAGAAGGCGTAGTCAAGAAAAAACTCTTTCTGCGACCTATCAGTTAAATGTAACATAATAGAATTTCTCCTTATAGCTATAGTCATTTACATCACTTAGATAATTGCATGGCTAATATAATAGTATCCATTAAAGGATATTTGAGAAGGAAATCATTAGGCCTGAGCCTGGAGAAATGTGTTCCTTCCCTCTCCCATGCCATGAAATGAAGAAAAGCAGATCTCAGATTTAATCGATTATTAAGTATTATACGAAACTGCATGCGTAGTCAGTTTCACCATTTACTTCCTGTTGTTTTTTTTTCATTTATCAGACTGAAAATAATCCAGCGTTAATCAAATCCGCATCACCGGCTCGGATGACGATCGTTGTTTCACTGCTGCTGGTCATTTGCTTCTTCTCAGTGCTCTCCTCCTATTTAATCCAATCAGCTTTGTGCCAAATGCCTCCAACTGCATGGATGTCTACAACTGGCTCTGTATGCACAACTACCAACTTTAGGATTTATACTAAGAAAATAACAAAGACTAGCTGTGCATTACAGAGAATTACAGCCAATCACAAAACACCACATCATTCATGAAGGACACTGAATTCTTTGTCTCATTGACTGAATAAAAGTTGACCTATATAACACCAGGTTTAAGAGATTAATAACTCAGATAAACAAACATTTAATTACAGATTATTGACCGTGTAACAATCGGATACCTTCGTTAAACATCGCAACCATGGCAACCGAATGGGGAATGAGTCACTTCCCTGTTGCCGTGGACACAACCATGAGTGCTGTTCTTACATCTTAAAGTTGTTGTTTTCTTTATGTTTGCAGGTGTTGACTATTCTGCATGAAGTGTTCCCAGCTGTAAAGGCAGCAGAGATGGCCGTGAAGTTCCGCCCGTTGTGGTGGGAGGGCTGGCAGACTCTGGGCCGGGCGCAGCTTAACCTGGGAGAGGTGGACCTGGTGAGTGGGGCTGATCGGAAGTAATCATGAATGTAAAACAACAAAACCTCGAGTTAGCAAATATAGAAATATATATTTTTTTTTTTCATGGAATAGGAATGCACTAAAATTCATGCAAGTCTTACCCAGACCTAAACCGAGCTTCTCAAATCTGAAATTTAAGCCATTCATCGACAACATCTGTGCAGTGAATTTAGCTACTCTTGCGTGTAGGATTATCCCTCATGGAGAAAGTTGGAAGCAGCAGAATGTTTGAATAGGGACATCCAAAGCGTTGTGACGTTAGACAAACTTCAGCCAGTGCATCCATTCTCCTCATATGCATGTGTTCAGGGAAAGGGACGACTGTCTATGGTCAGATCCAGCTGTGACTGCGTCTGGATGCAGCTGTTGATGTAATCATGCTCAGCATGTCAGAGAGCGAGGCAGCGAGCAAATTGTCTGAATGCAGTGTGTCCAAAAACAGGTCAATTTCAGTCATGCTAAATGGATTGTTGAACCTCCCACATGTGACAAAGCAGCTAAAGAGTTACTTGAACAGAAATATTAACACTGAACGCCTTCAGTGTGGCCATTTTGCACAAGAAGCCACCATTCAACATTCAAGCTGCTGCACTGACAGTTTATAGGTGTTCAGATTTTATAGATACACACCGTTGATTGATGGCCCTTAAAGGAATGATCACATACCTTAAGCATGTTAGACTTGGCAGAAGACATTAAGACACTTTACCTAATTATGTTTACTACTTTTCTGAGACCTCCGTCTCTGAGACGAGGTGCCTCTTAACGCACACCCAGGTGCCTGTGGCGCGTGGGAGTGCTCAGATTGCCTCAGAACACGCCAGGACCTGTGGTTGTACGAAACTGTCACATCGCAGGTAAATGCTGCCCGAAAGCCAAACAAACCCAAGTCAGAAGCCCTTCGGGCTAGTGTCGAGCAGGCCCAGAAGTGGGAAACCCGTCCAACAGCACCAAAACCAACAATGGGAAGCGCTGAAAGATCCTCCAACATGAGCCCATTCAAACGTAGACACACCTCCTTGGACGATCTTTGGGAATGAAAGAAAAAAAATCTAATTTTAGTTTGACTTGTACAGTCGAGTTTTAAACCTCTCTGTGCAGCGACATGCTCCTGTGGTGCCTGCTGTTCCTGTTTTTCACTGGAATTATGTACTACTATGTTCCTTTTTAGCTGTTCTTAGCATTAACATACAATAGATTCTATCTGTGTTTGTTTGTTCCAAACTAACTCTGCAGGAGATGCTCCTGTGCATCATGTCGTTGTTGTGTTTACGTGTCAGGTTTTGGTTTTCCTGGAGAGGCTGGCGCATGTGCCAGCGGTGGTATATATTTGGTTGAAGACTTCTTTTCACATCGAGCTGATGCGGCTTCAGTCTGTTCAAGACCAGACTTGTCGTGCTGTTTTGGGCACAGGCATCTTAATTTGTCAGGAATCTGTTTCAGTTTACCTGCCATAGACGAGGCAGGTTATTTATATAACAGACGGGAAACCTTAAACTTCCCCCACCAGGTTAATGCATGCTCAGATTCTCACCAGGTCTTTAAAAATGATGTAGTTCAAAAGTCTTTGAAAGAATATTTTGTTGACCGACTGAGAGATCACACCTTTTTGTATTTAGTTCTACAGGAAGGTTATTACCTCTGACAAAGAGTCTGTCTCTATTGGGCCGCATTGCATTTACTGCAGGTGTTTTTAATGGCTGTGGGTCAACAGGTGGAGTTGATAGAAGATAGAAAAGAAGAATCCAATTCATCTCCACACAGAACTGAAGGTTTTATTCCCCCTCCGTATCATTAATAAAGAGCAGAGCTCAAAACATTCAGCTCGCAGCTTATTTTTAGCCATGGCTGATTAAACATGACGTCCGCAGTCTGTCTGTCTGTGTGCTACTTTTCTCACCACTAAAGAGTTGCTTCACTCGTTTATAATAGAGAGAGTAAGACCAAAATCCTTCTCGTCCCACTACATTAAAAACAATCTGTACAGAGGTTAAACAGACGCGTAACAGAGATTTTGTGGAGCTCCAGGAGACATCACGGTTTCCCAGTGCTGTGCTGTAAAGTTGTTGAGCTTCCCCATGTTTTCAATTCTCTTCACCTTTGAAGTTGTGTGACAGATTTCAGGTTTGTACCAGGAATGACTGACAGGGTGAGCACTCTGCTCTAATAGTTTCGACTACTGAACTTATCTCACTATTTCTATGGCCTGGAAAATAGTCTGATGCGAACACGCCAAGGGCCGGAATGTTCACCTCTTATAAAGATAGAACTCTGCCCACATTACAACATAAGGAACGTCAGGACTTTTGGCAAAAACACGCCGCACATCTGCTCAGCATCTGCACTGATAGCAGTGGCCATTCATCCAAATCAACCTACAGAGACCAGACGAAATTCACAAAAACATTCCCATTTTTCTTTTTTTTTGCTTTTATCTTACAGAGTGAATAACCCCATATATCTTCTGCTGTTATCTCGCTGTCCCCCCCCAGGCAGTGAGATCCTTCCAGATCGCCGTCCACCTGAGCCCAGCGGAGCACGCGCTCTGGCAGGAAGACCTGAAATGGGCGCGGACGCTTCAGAAGCAGCATTTAGCGACCAAGGAGAAGCTAAGACAGGAGGAGGAGACCAAGAAACAGATCCTCAACGCCCCCGAGCTGGAGCGGGACTACGACTTTGAGTCAGACGAGGTGCTGGCGGCCTGTGTGGCCGTGGCCGAGCGCCAGACGCACTACGAGGAGCTGAGGAGGACAACTGTGGTCATAGATGCCGAAGGTAACATAAGACACAGAGTGACCGGGGAGGAGGGAGCGGAGGACACAGCCACATCATCAGAGGAACAGTTTGTGAAAGCAAGAGGACTTTGAACTGCTTTCTGGTGCACTCCATGAGGCTGGATCCACTTCTTAGGAACGCATAATATTACTTCCGAAACCATTCGGTGCGCAACACTGTAGGACAAAACACAAATTCATATTGCTGAGGTCGTGTAGGTTTATCACTTTTAAAGACTTTGATCATATTTGTGATAAATGTGTTTAAGTCACGAGGGGGAAACCCCTCCGACAGACTTGTTTATCTTTCTGTTTATCATGCTCTAACGCCCCTGTCCCCACATGTTTTTCCCCTGGGCATCCAACACAAAATCCGTTAGTTAGTTAGTAAGTGATAAATATGACATGAGTCACCTTTCTTCCGGGTATTGTTTCTGCATGCTTGTGTGGGGCCACTGTGTCTCTGCAGGCCAAAGTTTGGACCAGTGACGATGCAATGACTTTGAAAACGTCAGAAATGTATTCATAAAAAGACATTTTGCGAGACATACGAACAACAGTTCGTGTCCCTCTTGGTTGTGTTCAGCATTTTTCTATGGAAGACACAATGTCTGTGATTTAAAAGAGGAACGGAATGTTTTCATTTGTCTGACCACACATCAATTTTACACTTTTGGATCAACGAAATGTAACAAAACAAAATAAAGTTTGGAGAACAAAGGGCCACCAAGAAAACGGGAGCAAAGCAAGAACATTAAACAATACGCAGTGATCTAACAAGGAATCACGAAAAGTGAGGAGGAAATGTGCCAAGACAGCAAACCACACATGGCCAGAATCACATACGAGGCAAGAAAAGGAAGTAAAAGTCCTGTGGAATCGCACGTTGGCACACTGCTTACTGTAACTTCCCTCAATCATTGCTGGTGCAGCTGTTGTTTTAAGAAGTTGCATAATAAAATGAATGATGTGCTAATGAGGCAGCGCCTTTTACCTGTGTGTCTTACAAGAGAATCGGAGCTTTCAACCCAAAACTGAAAAGGAATCCAATCAGAAACTGCATCTCTGAGCTGGATGACAACACACACGTTGTTTACTGTGATGTGCATGATGATTGGGCAATGCAGACAGTTGCAGGAGTGGGGCAAGCTAAAACAGCTAAAAAGCGAAGCTAAAACACGTTAAATAAAGTCAGGCCACAATGAAGATCTGACAGTGAACAAACACACGAGGGAATGAAAACTAACCGAACACAGGTGTGAAACAAGAGCTGCAAGCAAGACGCAAAGAAAAGAGGAGATTCAAACGAATAGCTTGTAGCCTGACTTGAGCTTATTGTTCAGCTTGTTTGGATTTTGATGAACACTTTCACCCATTAGACGTTGGGCCGTTGTTTAGCTGCAGAGCCGGTGGCAATTAAAACAACCGATCCTCCTCAAAATGAGAAAAGGTCACAGGAAACGGCAGACCGTTTTCAAATAACTGCCTCTGCACTTTGTATCATTGTCAGAAACCAGCAGTTGGCTGGAAAAGTGGTTATTTTAGTGTGATAGATGAAACGGTTGATGGAAAGGCCATGAAACTTTCCATGAGAACGACTGATAGGGAAAAAAACTATTTAAAAAAACCCTTTTGAGTGCGACACAGCAGGAGGAACGCAAACTTTAAACTAAACTCTGCAGGCCTGAAAATAATCTACTAAAGTCACCGAAACCCTCTTAGCAGCACTTTGAAGGACGAAAAGCATGGAGAAGGCGTTAAAAACACGCGAAAATACAAAACAATAATGATCTTAGAAATAGAACGTGTCATTTGAACCATGCAAAGCTTTGACCTGGACACAAAAACGGCTGTCAGCTTATCATGTCTTTTTTTTTTTATTTCTTTCTATTTTGTATTACGACTTCGTTTTTGAGCGTCATCCTATGAAAGCCAGTTATTTTCTCAGGCTCTTTCCTTCCAGAGGGTGAATGTCTAAAACAGGCTGCCATGTGCTCTGCAGGACAGTAATGAGATGATGAGGTGGGAAAAGGGTGCACGTTTCCAAAAATCTCGTTTTTCCTCTGCTAAACTCCTCTCAGCTGTTTGTCAATCACAATTTCCTGTGTCCGGGTAAACTCATATAGCCACAGCAGATTTCTTAGGCTTGAGGTCAGAGCGCTTTTTTTTAATGGGTTATTGTTCCCGGGGGAATATTTTAGTGCTCTCGGAAGGCTCTGGACAACGGCCACAGTAGACCTGGAAATCCTCTGGGGCAAAAGAGACCAAACACTTTGGTTTCGGTGGTCTGGATTGATCATCTTCAGTAAAAAGGGACTTTAACATGTGGATTTTTCTTTAGTTATTGTCATTAATACGACTGCACGCGTACCACAGCTGGTACAGAAGCACCTCAGCCAATAAGGAGACACGCTGGTTACTGGTGTGGACGTTGGTCAACTTTATTCATTTATGAGTCCGGTAAAACATCCATTTACAGGAGAGTGGCTTAGTTTTGAGGACTTTTTCAAGCAGCATTGCCTCAAAGCCAAGTTTAATCTGGAAATCAGATCAAGAAAACCTATCATACAGACAGTTAATGCCTCCTATTTTCATCCTTTGTCAGCTTTCCCCAAACTGTCCGACTAGATGAGAGGAAATTGCACTGAGCTACAATCAGGATGGATTCTTGCAAAGGACAGAAAAGGGCAGAAAGGACCTGATGCACAATTCTACTGCAACAAAATTACCTTAAGAAGCCTCCTCTCATCCTCTAGTGTCTGTGTCTCTTGGACATTTCTCCCTATAGCTGCCTTTTTTGTTTGTGTGAAATGCAGGAAGTGTAAATGTAGCTGTGGTTTTTTCGAGCTGCTCTTCCTGCCGACGGGGACCAAAGTGTTCTCACATTCGAAAAACGACAACAAAAAAATACTACAAGCATATTCATGTCGAAGAAAAGGGGTTTTTACGGTGGACCTTCTCACGGAGAAGACGGCAATCGTGCGGCTCCGCACTCCAAATTAAATTAACGTGTTCACATTTTCACGCGGACGCTTTGCAGTGAATGTACAGTACAGTGCTGCCAAAGTGCTCCCAAAACAGCAGGCCGGCAGCGTTTCAGAGGCCGGAACCAGCTCCTCCGGGAGGTTCTTCTCCATGGCCTTTTTACATAATTATAGAGTTCAAACCTCTGTGAATGATTACTGCCGAGCTGTGTGTTCCTAATGGATATAGTCAGTAATGGTCTTTGAAATGTCACTTTAATCGCCATCCTTTAAGAATCCGACTGGCAGACGGTGATTCGGCCTCATTGCCACGGCGATAAACCATGGACCCTTGTCCTGGTAGAGGTTGGTTTGGGCGGCTAAATGCACTTCTCTTGCATGTTTGCAGTCTCGTCGGTGAAGGTGACGTGCAGCTCTGGGTCTTTGGGGCACACCGGGGGCTCGCCACCCGTCCCACACGGCCTTATGTCTCTCTGGAGGAGCGCTATCCGAGGCTGCTCCTCCTCACGGGGAGTCTGTGGAGTCTGTGGAGTCTGGGGAGTCTGCGGGGTGGACCCCCCCCCTGGCCCCGCCGGGAGCGGGCCCCGCTCCTCCGAGTCTTTCTCGGCCGGGTACAGGATAGTCCGCGAGGCGCTCATCGTCTCGTGGGGGTGGCGGGACACCATGGACGGAGAGTCCCTGGAGATGATGGAGGAGGCGTAGTAGCCGTCGGCACAGCGGAAGGGGCCGCCGCCCCCGTGTCCCCGCCCCCCCATCTTGCAGAAGAGGCACTTGATTTTCTCCATCACCTTGAGAACCACCGTTTTTCGGAGGAGGATGTAGATCCAAGGGTCCAGGATGGGGTTGATGGAGGCCATGCGGATGGCCATCAGGTTCAACCCCAAAGGCTCCTCGTCCCCGTCCGTGTTCAGCTGGTTCTCAAAGATCCTACACTGGTGATGCAGAAAAGAAAACAGGAATGGAAGATTAGATTAACAAGCAACCTCTAATAATTGGTTCAAACAAACACTTTCATCGTCAAAGTTCTCGTCTCTCAGTCCAAAGAGAGACTTGTTTATTATACTTTCTGCATCATAACCAGGAAATGGCCCAATCTAAATACTGTAGAGGTTTAACTGACAACCGAAGCAGGATAGAGATGTGACCAGTCAAAAATGTCCTCACTGTAACTGCCAATGTGCCTCTCCCCATTAAAAAAACAAAACAAAAACATTGTTCTTTCACTAAGCCAGAGGAATTAACTTAATGTGTAATCGTTCAACTTTTAAAAAGTCCAGTTTTAAATGAAGTTTTGCTCTCTAAGTTAAATCCAGGGTCCATTACCCCCTTCATGCGGTTTTGCAACAGATATAAAGAAAATGGAGGTTAAAAGGTCTCTGAATGTCTCTGTCTCAGGATTGTTTGTTTTCAGGTGTGTGCCATGAAATGGCAACAGAGTGGAGGGACGGTCAAACGCCACTTTTCTGAGATTCGTGTAGATAAAGAAATGACTTTATCGTGTAGATAAAGAAATGACTGTAAAGCAACATGTAAGCTGCTGTATGGATGTGTAAACATGTAAATGTAATTCGGAAAAATACGTCATTCCGACCACACAGGCGTTAAGCTAGAACACCAGGCCATGAGAGCTTGTCTTAGAATAAACCGCACTGAGTTTTGTTTTCACCACACTTGTTTATGATGCATACAGATGTGTCAAAGTGTGTTCTTACAGATTTGACGTGTCCGGTTGCTTTTTTATGAACAATCTTTGTCTACTTTGTCTCAAAATCTGTGAGGTTCCACTGCGCGCGCGTATGTTGAGCTCAAACTAATATCTCCCAACACTCACCACTAAAGGTATGGAGCAGGTGAGAACCAGGACCGACGTGGCTATGAGCACGATCACCATCTGGATCTCTGCCCCGGCCAACCTCCTGAAGCTGCGTCTGCGCCGGAGCTCCGCGGCGCGCCGCTGGTCGGTTCCCAGCGACGTGCGCCGGATGAACCGCCGGTGCATGAGGACGAGCGCGCCGAACACCATCACGTTCAGGATGACCGTGGCCAGCACCACCACCGAGTTCACCCCGGCGTACATCAGATTAAAAGTCACGACCGTCGTGTCGTTGTTGTTCCAGTCTATGAAGCACCAGGTGCCCGAATTCTGCTTGGTCACGCGGCCGATTCCCACGCTGGGCAGCGCGCAAAAGAGCGCGTTGGAGACGTAGAGGGCCAGGAGAAGAAGCGCGGCCAGCCTCTGGTTGATGTACCGGTTGTAGAAGTACGCGTGGTTGATCGCCATGTATCTCTCCGCCGACATGGCAAACACAATGCTGAGCTGCACCGAGAAGAAGAAGAGCAGGATGAAGCCGGAGTACTGGCACAGGGGCTCGCCCCCCGGCCACGAGCCCTTCATGTAGGTGACGATGGTGACCGGGCTGGCCAGCAGGGTCCCCAGCAGGTCCGTCACGGCCAGGCCGCACACGAGTGTGTAAAAAGTCGTCTCCTTTTTCTCCTTTCGCGAAATCCGGAGGACCATGATGGCGATGACGTTCCCAACTACCCCGAAAATGAACATAATCACCGGGATGGTGGCCGTCTTCGAGTAAACCTTTGCAGCCGTAGAGTTCATACCTGCTAGGTGTTATATCACTCTTTCACACGAAGTAAGGATCTCCTGTTAGTCCAAAGGAATTGAGATTTTTCCTTAAAACGCTTTCCTCGATCTCCCCAGCGATCGCCGGATCCATCGTATGCGATGTCCTCTTTACGCACGGGTTTAAATCTCGATATTTCCCACGCGAGCTCGACTTTGCCGGAGAAACATGTTCAGTCTGACTGTTTTGTTTGGTTTAAGGTGCTTTGAGACGGCGCTCCACGTTAGTCTCACAACCAAAACTGACGGGGAAGTTTGGGGCCACATGCGTCGGCCCCTCCTCTGCCTCACAATTTGAGCAGAGAGCGGTTTAAAAAAACTGCACTGTCAAACGCAAAAAGGAGGGCTGAGCTTGTGACACTAGGTCAGGTCACGCTTTCAGATCCTCATTGTCAGTTTATTTCAGGCTCTTTAGGGATTTCTTCATCTTTTTGTTGATATGAAAAACAGAACGGTGGCAGCTTAGAGGAGATTTATTTGTTTACAATACAATACAGAATTTAATAGATTTATGGGAAAATAAATACAAATAATTTATTTTAGTTTCCCGATCACAGTATTTGAAGCAGTGAATTGTGTATGTAAGTAATTGTCTGAACTCACAAACGTGTTTTCTCTGAAACTACACAGTTTAAGCAGGAACACATGGCACCACTCTTCAAAATATGTTTCGAATAAGGAGCAAAGGGAGATCCTATGATTCACTGCACTGGTTCCCAGTGAGAGGAAATCAAATGTACTGGAGAAGGTTCAGAGGTATTTTGAAATGAAGTTGTTTGGTTTTCTGTTTTGGATAAGTGGCTTGTTTTTTTCCCCCCCTCCATTTCTCTGTGTATGCTGGCCTGTTCCCCCCCCCCCATCCTCCACACCTGAGTTAGATCTGCTCATCGACCAGTCATCTACCCTCCCTGGTTATCGTCAGGGCTTTCTGAAGGCCAGCCTGGTTAGTTGCCTCCACCCAGCCTTCTCAGTCTGCCTAAACTCGAAATACAACTTGGAGTTTCAGGCTCATTTGTTCTAAAGAAAAGTGAGCTTCTGTCTGTTTTTGAGGGTTTTTACCTTTTACCGTGGAACTTCGTCAGTCAGAAACCCCTGATAAGCACATAGCTGGTCTCTAATCTCCTCTGTGTTCATAAAAGCGGTATGACTGTGCACCCATTCAAACTGTTCAGAAGTAGTTTTGTAAGATTTTCCAGCATAATAATGTTTTTTTTCTCGTAATTTCACTAAAATCGCTTTTTTTTTCTTTCCGCTGCCCCTAAATGTTTAAAAGACAATTCCGCATATTCAACATATCCAGCATATTTTTTCTTTGTTTGTTTGTTTGTCTTCATCCCAGAGGCTCTGTCACTTCTGACAGATTGGTGTGGAATTCTGGGAATTTAAAGTCTTGTTGGGTCAGTAAGTGTGAGGTTGGGACACGAATATGACCTCAAGGTGTGGATGACCCCACAAAGGTTCAAAATGTTTGGAACTTTCCATCCATCAGACTGACCTTTTCTTATGAAAAACTAGAGTTGGAAGGAGATAAAAGATAAAAGGATTCTCAAAACTCAAAGAAGTAACTTAGGTTTGTTTGTGGTAGATTCAGTTAACAGTTTGAAATCTGATTTTCTGCAGAGAAAGTTAAAGGCAGCAGAAAATCTTAAATGTTTTCTCTTAGTCCACAGCTCTGTATCACAAACTTCTGTCAATAACTCCATTTCCACAAGATCATTTGTAATTGTGGCTTGACTCAGCGTTTGATCCTACCTTTCTTGGATCAGACGCCCGAAAAACCTAAAAAAGAAATGGAATTCAGTTTCTCGTCCTGTGATCGTTTGTGATTAACATGACCAGTATGCATTTTTGGCACTTTTACTAACTTCTAGTTCTTTGAAACAAACAATTACCCTCCTATTACCCCTGATTTCAAGAGCTCTGATTGAAAGTTGATAAAGTTTCAAATGAAACAACACAGAAGAATAAATCACAGCACATTTAAGAGTTCAAGGTTTCAGTTTTTTTTTGTTTTAATAACAATGGAAATAATGGCGTGTTCATTATGCTGATTCGGAATGACCTCAAATTATTATCTATAAATCTTGGAGTGGATCCAAATCAGCATCAAGAATATAGTTTTGTGACATTTTCACCCCTAGCTGATCACAATTGGACTCAGACACATCCGCTGTAATCTGTCTGTAAGTTTTTTTTAACCTTGTGATAACCATACATCTTTATCTCAGTTTTTTTTTAGCTAAACTTCCCACTGAGTCATTTCAGGGATTTGCAAAAACTGAATCATTCAGTAAAGATATTTAGATAAGACTATAAACCTGGTTTAAAATGAGCTTTTTATCTGAATTTTTTGTTTGATTCTTGAAGAATATGTCAAAAGAATATACGTATATATATATATATATATATATATAAAAGGTACACGTGCACATATGTAATCATGTGTACTGCTATAAAGTAAAATACAATTAATACTACTATATACTATTGATACTAATACAATTAATTTTTGAAAAAACAAAACAAAGTTTTGACTGCATGAGGATGCAAAAGTTGTCAGAAATATTTAATTCATCTAATCTTATCATTTAAAAACAGTCTGACTTTGATCTCCAAAGCAGTTACAACAGGAAGTCGGAGGCACGTTTGCCGAATCAGGCAGAGAATAACGAATGAACAATGTCAATGTTGAACTTTGAACAAGATGTTTTAGGACCGGATGTAAGTGTTTGTACCCTTACAAAACCACAGTGTGATCTACGGGGCTAAATATGTGTCACACGCACCGTCGAAGCAGAATGCAGAGGTACCACTTCCTCTTCCATCAGGGAGTGTCACGTCTGGGGGAATGTCTTGTCTTGATTACCTATTGTGTACACCTGGGGTTTCCCTCCCTCATGTGTTTAAATAGTCCTCGTTTCCCCTTGTCTGGTGCGGGGTCGTTCTTGTCTTCTTGCCTTGTCTCTTGTCCTTTCGTCCATCGTCACCCCCACGCCAGGTTTGTTTCGTTATAGTTCTGCCACAGTCATAGTCACGTTTTGTCATAGTCTTGTTAATCTTTATTTTGTTATCAAGTCATAGTTTTTGCCACAGTATTGTTTTGCTCATTGCTTTGTTACTTTGCCCACAGTTTGCCACAGCTTTGTTTTGTACTTTGTCTGGACATTCACCCTGTTTTTTGTCAATAAACCTTGTTCCCCTCATTCCGCGACTGAGTCCTCCCGTCAACACCCACCTCCGTGACAGGGAGTAGGCTTCTTCACTCAAATAAAAACCCTGTAAAACAGTCGGTCATGCTTATCAGTATATCGGTGTGCAGCCTTAACAGAATAACCAAGCTGCAAAATTATGTAAAAAATGTCTTTAGGGCCACTTCTTTTCTTCAAATACTGTACATCTGTCTTTTATTTTTTATTTTTTTTTGTATCACCGATCTTCACGAAAGAAATATCCACAGCATCACACATAGTACACAAAGTGTTGAGCAGGACACCACATCACCTTTCATGTTGTTGTTGCTATGATGAATCTGGGTCGTGACACAGATTCCGAATAGAGCCGAGAACGGCCTAGAAAAGTTCAGTCCGCTTACAGCCTCTTCTGTGCATTCTTCTGCTGAATCAGTTTTAAATGTGGCATTTTATCTACCCGGATCATCTGTGTTAATGACGTGATAGCAGAAAAAAATAGCAGAGAAAAAAACTCCGGTTAAGATTTGGAAATCTTTTTTAACGCTGCAGACACCACGTCCTGGATGCTGATAACAGGCGGGCTGGTTAACAGTATCCAGTTCAAAAGCCGCGGCTATAGTGCTGTCACGTGTTTGGGCCTTGTGGTGTGTGTGCTATAACAAATGTATTACACTTATGTTTGATTTCAGAGCAGCATGTTGGATTTTCACAACAAATATTGCAACATCAGTTTTCCACCCCTTTTTCTCTTTTTTCTCTATGGAGATTGAGCTTTTTTTCATTCCACTATTCTCGTTACATTATTTAAACCTAATGAAAGTATGCTTATTAATTGTGATACATTTCATGTGAACTGACAGTGCTGGTCGTCCTTATCTTGAATGTCTGTAATAAAATCCTTTATCGCTCTTTTTTATTACAGATATGCCACATATCTGCAATAAACTCCCCACGCCAGTATATTTCTGTCAGCTTTTCCTGTGTCACAGTCCTTCCCTCTTCTCCTCAGTCTGCTTCCCTTTTGGGCATCTCAGTCTTGTTCTTTTTCTCTGCTCCCCTGGATTAAGCTGGCCATTTATCACACCTTCTCTTTTTTTTAAGTAGCTCTGTGTAAATAATGGACTGTTCCCACATTACCTGCCTGCTGCACACCTGTTTCCTGCATTCGGCTGGCTCTACCTCAGCATCCAATATTTGTTTCTTTTCTTTGGACTTTTTTTTTCTTTACGGAGAGGATTTGAATCATTTGTAGAGCATAACAATCGGCTTTAAGTTGTATTTAAGCCCAGCATGTCTGTCAAAAGGGTTCAACATCACCTATGGAAATGGCAACATCTCTGTCTGGTACTTTCTCTCCAGGTCATAAGATGAGGCGACCGGGATGTTCCCTGACCCGTTAGGCAGGTTTAAACAACGCAGAACGGTGTTTACTCAGTGTGGTCAGAGGACAGATCCAGCAAACCAATTAACCTCTGCAGACTGCGTGACGTTTCACACAACCAAAGCCAAAGAGGCTCGTCATAGGTCAGTTAGGTTTCCATGTAGTCCTGTTTAAATCTGGTTAATCTGTTTTCCTTTCCTGCCTGTCGAAGACAAATTAGCTTCTGGAGAGGCAAACGCGATCTTCAAACATGGAAAAAAAAAGGAGTCAGAGTTAATAAATGCCACATGAGTCACCTTTTAGGTCCATATCCGGAAACGGCTGATCTGAATTAGAGATATTTTCGATACACAGAAAGCTGCTGCTCACGGAGCTTTATCCTCACTGTCCATACTTAAAATTAGACATATAAATCAGATGACAATTGGAATTACATTCGAGTTCATTTAACTCCATTAACTCATAGATTTAGTTAACTGACCTGCTATTGTCAGTATTCCAGACACAGGGAAGTGTAGTCAACATCTCTTTTTTTCAGATTTGCCTCTTTGCTTTCTTAAAAAAAGTTTTTTTTTTGTCACTTTGCACAAAAGGCTGCTGACTTATATCATACCTTTTTCTGCTTAATACACCTTTAAATATTAGATATCTGTGCTTGTGTTTTTCAAAATTTCTTTTATCTCAGTTGTGACAAATGAAAACAACTAAAAATAATTTTAATAACCCATAAGTCATATAGGAGGGAGTGAGTCTTTTATCTCTCTTGTCTTAAATATTTGGCAGCTGATAATCTGTGTTTACTG